GTAATCGAATGTGTTCAGAATATCCTACAACTGGCCAGCACAAATGGAACCCACTGAAACCCACAGAGACGTACAAATAAAGAAAGACAAACTAAAAATACACATGGAAAAGCTATAGAGTGAAGTCAAAGAAAAAAAAAAGGCAGGGAGAACATGGGGTTGAGATGGATGTGATAAGAAAGGATAGAATGATTTGATGAGTTGGCTGAGGGCCTATATTCCATTGTTGTATAAAGGACACACAAAAACACAAAAAACAAGACATCTAATTTATATAATTTGTTGAATGTTTTTATCTATTAATTTTATTAACAATTAACTCTTTGAGTCCCAGGGGGTTTAGCATCACAGGCCCAGGGGGTAGTAGAGAAAGTAATAAAATCAGCGCATCATGCGTTTATTGGGCTTCTAGTTAGGAACATATAAACGTATGATGCGTTCCTTGGGACTCAAAGAGTTAAGTAATATATTATTTTCTGATTTCTTCTTATTCTTCAGCATTCTGAGTCCTTGAGATTTATTAATGCAGATATTATTCGCCTCCATTCCTCTCTCATTATCTGTTCCATTGTAACTCCAATTATTTGAAGGTCTCTTCCTGGTGTGCCTAGTGGGTAACTCTCATTCATTTGTTCTGTGTACAGAGTTTTTGCCTCTCTGTTATCTGCCAATCTTTTTTATATACCACAACCACTGCAGTCTTTTACCCCTCATTCCGGCAGTTATTAGTGGAGATTTAAACAGATTATGAATTAAGTTGAGGAGCAGCTAGCCAAATGATTAGAATGCTGGGCTCTCATGGCAGAAACCCAGGTTTAAATCCTCGGTAATATTGGGGATTTTTTTCTGTCAGGGGTAAATATAAAAATATCCTCAGCTGCACAGTCCATGGTGACAGCACTAGCCATGTAGTCTTAAATCCTTAGGCTCAACTAAAGCTCCCCCCCCCCCCTCGCACACAGCGAAAGTGTATAATAAAGGCAGTAATTGGCAGTTTTGCAGTTTTACGAATTCATTAGTTGCTTTATCACTCTCTAATCTTTACCTGTGTGATAGATCCACAAATTTTTTGTATGACACATAAAAACTTGCAAAAAACATTTGTTTCTTCCAGTTGTACTCCAGGTTTCAGAGCACTTATGATATAACAAAACTCAATAGATCAGTAAACAACAATAACAAACACACATCAAACATACCTGCACTATGATGTTAGTCAACAAGGAATGTGTTACACAACTGTAGCGCTCAGCTCATGATCAGTGGAGGCTGTCCATCTACTTATATAACAAGCACATGCAATTGAACTGTTTAAACATTCGTTCCTATACTTTTCCCTGCTTGTATACATTCCAAATCATGCACAAACACTTGCAACAACAATTTTCATGAATTAGTTCAACACAGTAGGGGTTAGTAAAGACAGAGATAAAGACGATAATATGCACTAATCTATAGAGAATGGTTTTATTAACTAGAAATGTGAATCAGATATTACATGTGTATTTCCATGTTAATGTTGAGAAATTTAAATAGATCCTACATGTGTGCTTCCATATTAATGTTGGAATGCAAATTCTGCAATGATTCATGTATTCAATATAATAACAAAGCTTACATGAGATAGCAGAATTCTATAATTTCAGACAATGAAAATGTAAAATAGACCAAGAATAAACAACAAAAAGGCTAACAGAGATGTATTTTATTACATTTTTTCCAAATATCATGTTTTCCTGGCATATTATTAAGTATATGTGTATACAAAGAACATGTGAAATTAATTAATACATAGAAATAGTTTACACCACCATCATAAATATATATTAAATGTAAGTTGTCAAGCAAGATAACAAAATGAGAACATACTATTCAGGAATGATGTCTGTGAAAGGAAGGGATGAGCAAACAACTAGACAGGATGTCAATGTGTTGGGCTCCCAAAGAATGAGAAATAATATACTGAGAGATAATTGTGAAATTTATACATTAGGGAACAATGTAAGACACTAGCTGACACAAGAGGTAACATACATAGGGAAATACAACAGATCATGTTCCAAATACAACATATCAAGACAAAACTGTTGGCCAAGAGAAACATCGCTGCAAGTCAAACTTTACGGGTCACTGCATGAACAACAAAAGACAGTGAAGTTCATTAGAGACAACATTGCAGATATAGATAATCTATTTCAAGCGAATGAAAGGAGAAGACGAAGAACATAGGGAAATTTCAGTGAACTACTTTTATGTACGGAACTTTCACTCAATGGCCACAGTAGTTTTAAAATGTGAAGGGCTTAAGTCAATGACCATATTAGGTTACAAATAATGAGAGGAACAGATAATGAGAGAACAGACAATGAAAGCAACTTTTATTCAATGACCACATTACATTACAGATAATGTGAGAGACACTCACACTTAATGACGACAATACTTTATAGCTGATGAGTGGGACTCTCAGCCAATGATCACAGTAATTAATAGATAATATGCCAGACTCACAGCCAATGACTTCTTTTGTGGTCTCACTGTTACCAGGTTGTAGTTCAGTCTTGTGGTTTTCTGTATTTGTCTTACGCTTCTCAGGTGGCCTGAGCGATGGATTTTTTAAACTTTTGGCAGGTTTCATCTACACCATTTATCCATCTCTTTCCTGGTCTTCCCCTCACCCTCCTCCCAGATGTTCAACTGTAAAAAGTCTCATATGCAGTCTTGTCTGGCTACATTCTCACTAGATGGCTGAACCATTTCATTCTTTGTCTGGCAATAAAATCCAGACATGGTCTTATTCCAACGTTCTCTCTGATGCTTATATTTGTAATCCTGTCTCATCTAGTGCTGTTAATGACCTTGAGGAGATAAGTTTATTTCACATGTAGTTATTTTCTGTTCTAGTGCCTTATTCATTGTAGCCAATGACTGCAACACTTTATAGATAATGTAAGGGGACATTCAGTCAATGGCCACAATAATTTATAGATAGCGTGAGAGACTTTGCTTGAACGATCATAATACTTTGTAGATTATGTAAGGGACTTAAGTGAATGACAAAATATATCACAGATAATTTAGTATTTATCAATAATATAAAACATATAACAGCCATTAAAAAAAATGCTTATGCAATTTAAAAAAAAAGCATCAATGATAGACCATGTAATAGGGCAAAATAAAACATGATAAATGTAATATCTGTAAGTGAAAGTCGGGGATACATAAATTGACAATACACCATCATTTAACATGTGAGAATTAAATATTCAGAGAATTCTGAATTATGTGAAGTTTTTAGACAGGGAATATGTATATGTGTTTTCAGCTTTTCTAGTGTTAGTAGTTTATAAAACAAATGTCAGTGGCAGAACCTGCCATATTATTAACTATCCTCTAAATAAACTGCACTCTAAGATCTGAACAATATTATTTTATTTCCTTTATATCTTTCCTCTTCTAACAGGGCATGTTGGGATAAAAACAAGTTGATAGGCTTGCAGGTAAGGCTAATGTAGAGATCGAACAAGCAACGTTCCAGGATAAAATAATGAATCTGCTATGAGATGTAAGACTTTTGCAAGAATCAAGTGACCATGGGGAAAGTGCAGCTATGTCCTGATTACAAGATCATGTATGTTCACAACTCTCTGTCTTGTCTATTGCTAATTTGTTCTGGTACATCTATTCCTCCAAGCCAGGAGGCTAAACTGTGTAACATCTTTTCTGATGGTCTCCCTTGTTTCTCTTCTCCTCTGACTTTCTTGTTGTCACAAGATGCTCCTATTTTCCCCTCATCATAACATTTCCAAAGAATGTGGATGTGTCTGCTTCAGATGCAAGTGATGCTATGTCTCATTTTCTTTAAACACATTTTCATGATGCTTTCTATATTTCCCTGGTCTTCTCATTCTTCTATAAAACTACATCTCTGCTGTTTCAGCATAATATATAACTGATCTGATCACTGGCCCACAAATTACATCCGTATATCAGGATTGGCTCTACGTAGTTAATAAGAACTATCTTTCTCATTTCAGTTAATAAGTATGTATTGCATAGACTATTTTGTCCCCTGTGAAATGCTTTTGCTTTGATTACTCTGCATTTAACTGTATGTGCTGTTATCTACCACACTAGAAGGCATGCCTCTTATCCCCTATTACTCTTCTGTTGTCATGCATCATATAACACATTTCCTGCATGCCTTGTGTTCATTCAGACAAAAAGTGAATTAATCATCTCAGACTTCACTACGGCCTGGCTAAATTGGTAGAAATGTCCTAGTAATACATTACTTCTTACACTTGAACTTATTCTCCACAAACCAAAATTCTGATAAACCAAAACTTCTTGTTGCTTACACTCTCTAATGCGTTTATTATTTTTGGTTCTAAAAGGAAATACATGATGAAGTTACATGCTTGAAGGGATTCAAATTACAGAACTGTCTGCCTTATACACAATAACCCTCAATGTACAGTCTATGCTGTCATTATGGTCAACTGATAGCATTCTCATCTCTCAAGAATGTTTGTGTAATCTAGAATAACTATCTCAAATGCAACCCCAATAAATCAATATGAATACATCAATAGCACACATCACTTTGATCATTGCCTATCTGTTGTCAAATGCAACAAATTTATAGCACATTCTTCAAGAATGCAGCACCAACAACAAATACACACATATTTACTGTTGTTGAGAAGCTTTTGTGAATTGTAAACTTTTAAGATCAGAAAATAAAACAAAGCCACTGTCTAGTTTATCTAGGCAACACTGCAATTATAGACAGCATAAGTGTTTTTAGAAGAAGAAGAATCATTTTGACTGATAAAATACATTCGAAAAGCAAAATGATAGACGAAACATGACTTTCTTGGCTTCTTCAAAGACACCTATTTTTGGAGAGATGCTGAATCTGCCAGCATGCAGTTAATACACTACACTCATGAGGACAACTTTAGTTAGGCCATCAAACAACACTCCCAACATACCAAACTGACTCTTGGGGATTACAGCTGCACTAGTCTCAAGAGGTTCAGACTGGCCAACCTCATTCTCAGCAGTGACACGGAAATGGTATGAGTTGCCAATTTGCAAGTTGGTTGCCTGGTAGCTGAGGGTGACTCCATCTACAGTAGCCAGCTTGGTCCAGGTTGCCCGCTTGGCATCTTTTTGTTCAATTATGTAAGCAGTGATGTCACAGCCACCATCATCTTTGGGTGGCTTCCATGTCAGTATGGCACTGTCCTGGGTGATTTCAGAGACCACAATGGGACCTTGCGGTGGAGAGGGCTTATCTGTTTATAGAAACAAAATTGTCATTGTAACAATATGTTTGTCACAGAATGAATTTGCTGCTGTAAAATAGTTTATCTAGGAAATGGTGAAAGAGTGAATGAATCAATCAAAACCTGAAATCACAGTTGGAAATACCTACATGTACTCAGTCCCTTCTTCACTAGTTAACAGAGTTTCCATGCTGACATACCCCAAATTTCAACACTGACATTCACAATGAGATAATAACATACCCAAAATTTCAACACTGACATTCACAATGAGATAAGAACATACCCAAAATTTCCACATCAAATTTGGCTGTAGCTTCTCCCACTTCATTCTCAGCTACAAGAGTGTATAAACCATCATCATCCTTAGTGATTTTCTTCACTGTCAGAGTGGTGCTCTTCTCCTGGATATCCACTGTGATTTTTCCACCGGTGTTCAGTTTCTGACTTTCCCTCAGCCAGGTCACCCGCGGCGTGGGAATACCACCCACACGGACTGGTACCTTCAGTGTTGCTCCCACATGCATTGAGATAATGTCTCTGAATTTATTGTCAAAGTCCAAAGTGGGTGATGCTAAAAAACAAAAGTATTTATATATTTTATTTCAGTGACAAAATGATCTTATCAGAATTAAGAAAAAAATCAAGGCAAAGAGAGAATTATGAATACTAAAAGGACAGAAGCAAAGAAATTAATTTAGTTAGTACCAATCAACTCTTTGTGTGATATGTTGTTCTTAGCTCTCCAGTTATGATAGTGTACAAAACTTGACCACTTTTTTAAATGCTTGGTGATTACCCGCCACACTCTTCCCCTTCCCTTTTGTTGAATGTGTGTATATATGTGTGGATGTGTGTGTGTGTGTGTGTGTTCTTTGAATGAGAATACACCAAGCAGTGATATTTTCCATAAAAAAAATGTGAAATGCATACATCCTTTAGCAAGGCACTTGATAATGATGATGGCAAATATAATGTGTGTGAGTATATATATATATATATATATATATATATATATATATATATATATATATATATATATATATATATATATATATATATATATATATATATATATATATATATATATATATATATATATATATATATATATATATATATACACACACACACACACATATACACACACATATATACATATATATGTCGGCATCTGTGGCTTAGGCGTTGCGAACACGCTTCATTATGTCAGGATGCCAGGTTCGATTCCAGCTGCAGGCCTTGCTCTGGTTTCAACAGGGGTATCAAGAAACCGACCATCCAGAAATCAATGGCAAATACTGAAGGTAAACTTGCCTAGAAAAACCATAATAGCCAAAAAATGCTGGGGTTGGTTCTGCAATGGCCTGTAAAGGATACGCAACTATATATATATATATATATATATATATATATATATATATATATATATATATATATATATATATATATATATATATATATATATATATATATATATATATATATAATGGTGATGATGATGGATGAACCCCTTTGTTATACTGGCCGAGAAAAAAAATTCATGCCAGTATAGAAGATGCACTACAGATCCCCATGTATACATACCTTGAATTTCCAGAACTCCAGATGTATTGACTGTGCCGAGATCATTGCTGGCTTCACAGGTGTAACTACCAGCATCTTTGTCCTGGACATCCTTGATGACCAAGGATGCCACAAAGTCTTGGTAGACCATCTCATGGCGTTTGTCTGCTACAACCTCTCGCTGGTCTTTTAACCTTGAAAACAAAACAGGAAAGTGATGGAATCACTGCAAAGGAAACTACATCTACTAGTTCTTAAAACTGTATTTTTTTTTTAAATATACAAGTGAGCTGAGTTGAGTTGAGTCAAGAATTGACATAGCACTTGGGGCAATTCCATGTGTGCTCCGTTCTCATCTTCAGCAGCCAATGCAGAGTTCCAATACTGATGGTACAGGTCACAATCTGATTATATGTCCGTCTTGCCTTTCCTCTGAGTTTAGTGAGCCAGCTAGACCCTCTGGTTACACACAGGTGCCTCATTCTCTTCAGGCCATAATAATTTTGTTTCTCTACTGATTATGTTGCTTGTTCCCAAAAGGCCTTGACCGCATCTGCCTTGTCATGTATCAATTCACCACCCAGTGGTGCATATATACAAGTGAGTATTTGATGAATATGTTGCCTATTAGTTTGGAGATAAAGCACACAAACACACACTCACACACACTAGTGTGATTTCTAATCCTCTTCAACATATTCATTCCTGAAGGTAACACACTTATCATAATGCCCTGGTTGCAATATTGCCCCATTTAGGCCTACAGCTATGTTCAGTTAAGTAATCAAATTCTAGTCATTTAAAAACAATGATTTTTATGAAGCAGATTCTTCATGTGTAGAAGAAGTCACCCATTGCCCAGTCTTGAGAGTAATAATCTAGTTCATGAATGACGTTCTACAACTATGGATGATATTCTGCAACATTTTATGGATGATTTACAACAGCTATGATGAATGTTCCCTGTCAGTCTGGGAATATGTAATTATGAAAACACAACCAATACACAGTAAATATACATAAAAAGAAAACCATGCTATTTGATGCTGAGCTGAAGAACATAATAAAGCACAACTAAAATAGTGACTATAACACAAAATGAAAACCATACCATTTGATGGTAGGCATGGGTTGGCCACTGATCTTGCAACCCAGAATAGCTGTGTCTCCTTCCACTACTGCAACATCAGGCAGGCCTTCCAGAACTGTGGGAGCTTCTCCAGCTACAAAAAAAGGTATACATGTTAAGAATGTAACTGTCTCTTCTCTCTCTAAAGCATAGCAAACATGCAGTAGTGACAATAGAAATCTCTACTTCACCTATATGGTTGGGGTTACTGAAATGGAGAGAAACTGGTTTGCAAGACTCCTTATAGATTCCCATAAAATGTTTTATGTATTGATACAGAATCTCATTCCATATGGGTTCTGGGGCCTGCACTAAGGGGGAAAACAAGAACAGACCCACTTCCTCACTAACGAACACATTGTAAGAATCAACTAATTAGAGTTTGAAGACAGGGTGCATCTGCCAGAGAGGCAAGGAACCAACAGTCTGCATTCAAAATAAGCCATATCTGGGAATGTGTATGGAAAGTTCAAGTACTGGAACAAGACTAAAGTCTAGAGGTGGATGAACAACCTGATCTTTCCACTGGAGTTTACAGAAGGTGAATGTAAAGAAGAAGAAGAAAATGTTGAAAAAGAAGATATTGCATCTAAAGTGTACCATCTACAATGGCGATGATTCCTTGAAGAGCTAGGTATTTCACTTTAATTGACTTACTGACAGCTTCTCGGACAGAAATGGGCACTGACGGTAGTGACATCGGTCCAACACCGGCCTTGTTCTCAGCTGCAACTCTGAACTCATATTCCATGCCCTCAGTGAGATCCTTCACAACAAAGCTGGTTTCTGGGACTTTGACGTCTGCATTTGCCGGCAACCACCTGGCACAGCCCACAGGGCGGTACTCAATAGCATAGTTAAAGATGGCATCACCTCCATCTTTGCTGGGAGGAATCCACTTCAAAGTGACAGAAGAGCGTGTGGTGTCAACTGCTTCTGGTTGTTTCGGGGCTGTGGGTTTGTCTGTGAAACAAGAGGTACACATTAGTGAGTCGGGAAACAGAATTATCATTATCAGCATTGTATGGCAGGTTCTTTGGTCACTCCTATCACAGTCTGCCTGAAAGAAACCTGGTCTTTCATCAGTTCTCCCCCCTTGTGCAATTTCATAGCCAAGGTGACATACCTTGTGCCTATCTTAATTTTGGTCAGCCACTGTCCCTCTTTCCTGCTACCATGTCTTTTGCTATTATTTTTTTCAAATCCACCTCGGCACTTGATATCACATATTATTATGAGCACACATGCTGCTTGCTGCACATTGTTAAAAAAAAGGTAACACAGATATACTTAACTCTTTCTATACCAATTAAAAAAACCAATATAAATATCTATTATTTGAAAATGCAGTAGATTAAAAATATCCTATTTATGACACAAAGGGTTGAACAGGATATTACTAAACACGCAAAACATTTGATGATAATTCACAAAACTTACATTTATACAACATAAACTGCAATCTAAAAAAATATTTGATTAAACATATATATACAGAAATTCACATAACATATCCAGATATCTGTAACACACACATACCATAAGGATCTTTGGCTGTGATAATTCCTGTACTGGCAGAAGGTTTACTGATGCCAACTGGGTTCTCGGCCATCACCCGAAACTCATACTCCCCACCCTCTTCCAGGTCATTGACAGTGTAGACTGTGTCCCGAATGGGGCTCTTGTTGACACGAACCCAGCGGGAGCTAGTCGGACTCTTGCGCTCTAGTGCATAGCCTGTGATGGCTGCTCCTCCATCGCTTTCAGGAGGCTCCCACGCCAGGGTGATTGAGGAGCGGGTGATATCAGTTGCTGTGAGCTTCTTTGGAGCATCAGGGGCATCTATGACATGAATCACATATTCAGTTAATTTTATGCAAAAATTAACAGACTCTGGTTTTATGTCAAGTTTTTAATTTGTTAACAAGTTTGGACTAAGGTTTTTGAATTTGTGCTGACTGCTTTGATATTATATTTACTCTGCAATAACAGTTTAAAACTGGCAAATGAAAAAAAAAAAAAATCACACATAGCTTTATATTAATTAACATCAGAATTATCAAATAACTGGGCAACATGATTTTACTGACTAAAAAAAATTTTTTTAAAATACATAAACAATTTTACTAACTAGATAAATTTTGAATATTATTTAAACATAAGTTTACAGACTAGACAACTGTCTGCCCCACTACCCCCCCCCCCCCCCTCTAAAAAAAAACCCCGCCTGAATGTGTACTTACCGAATGGACTCTTGGCAACAATACCATCCAAGAGTTCAGCAGCTTCTCCCACACCAAACTCATTTTCTGCGGCCACACGGAAGTAATACTCCTTGCCTTCCAGTAGTTTCTGCACAGAGAATGTTGTTGTTGTGGCATCCACTAACTGAACCTGTTTAAGAAAAAAAAAATATATATATATATATATGTAAAAAGCATGAGAAAACAAGCATTGCTGTGTAGAAACTACAGCAATTAAATCTTGATGGAATAAAACAAACAGAGCAGAAATAATACTAATAATAATGTGTATAATTTATGTGGCATCTTAAGGGTGAGAAACCTGGACATTTACAAATCAGTTGAAAAGTACTGTATTTCAGATCAATATTTTTCATCATGTGAATGAAAAAGAAAAAAATACTGGCATGCTAAAAGATCTGAACATCAAGGAAGACTAGCTAGTAAACAGCATCTTATCCCAGAAACTGAAATATTTTGGCAATACAAAGCCCCATGCCAGATTGGAAGGCATGATGTTAGGAAAAAGGGGCAGAGGCAGACCCACGTGAAGATGGGCACAGGATATAAGTGACACCTTGGATATGAAAGTGAACGAGGCAGGAGATCAGGCAAGAGAACCGAGTTTCTTTCAGGTATTCTGTGATGATGAGAATGGTGTTTTGCAAAGTACCTCCTACATGAGAAATGATACTCAACAGGTTATATGAAAAGCATCAAGCCTCCCTCTTTTACTTCCCTGGATATTTTCTGGTGCCCATTTAATGCTAGTCTGACCTAAAGCCCTACATCCATTATAAAAATCTAACTTGCTGCAAACTCAAACTCAGGAGTTCCAGGTTGACAGGCAGGTGTACTAGCAGCGCTGCTAAAAACAAATATCTGCCACATGTTTCCTAGAACAATCCTAACTGCAGCCATTAACTCTTTCAGTCCCAGAAGGTCATATCTGATGCCTAAACGATATAATAATGACAGCAACAAAATCATGGGTAGACTAAATCCACAGGAGCTAAGCACACAACCCATGACGAGTCTTGTGTGTTGTTGGGTGTATTACTGGGCCCTGTCTAAACATAAAATGTATAAGCATAACATTATTTACAACACTTACTGGTGCCCAGGTGTTTCTCTTGGCCTCTCTCTTTTCAATGACATATCCTTTGAGTACACATCCTCCCAGGTTGCTTGGTGGCTCCCAGGCAATAGCGATGCTGTCTTTCATGATTTCCAACACTCGTAAATTTTCTGGTTTTCCTGGCTTGTCTGTGGAGAGATTATAAAACACTCAGTTGTATGATTTGTGAATGCCGTGAGGGTTAATTCATCTTTTCTTTCAACCTCCACCCCCATGAATTATAGGTCCTCAACCAACTCGAACCAAGACCTCCTATCCATTGGCAAATGCGGGGTGTTTCCTTCAAAATCAGAGTGTATCTGTCTGAGAGGTGATCAGTCAACAGTCTGCATAGAAATAAGCCAGATTTGTACACAGATCTCAAGTTCTGGAAGAAGAGCAAAATCCAGAAATGGACAAACAACTAGAACTCTGAGCTGGTGATGGCACCAACTCATGCTAAGAAAAAGAGAACAAGATTCTGGTGGCACAAATCCACTCACATCATCTACATCTTCCTTATTTCTTTTTAAACTTTTCTTCCAAGTTTTGAAAAATGTTGCCAAAGCAGTGTCTAATTACAGCCTACATATGATTCTTACCTTTAACATTGATTTCAAAGTCAGCAACAGCTTTTCCAACCACGTTTTCAGCAACAATTGTATAAACACCAGTGTCTTCAATCATAGCATTCTTGATGGACAAGGTGCTGTAGTCTGGGGTTGTTTCTATGGACAAGCGATCTGACTTCTCCAGGGCTTGGCCATTGAGTCGCCATGAAATGGAAGGTGATGGGATGCCACTGACATCCACCTTGAGAGATATTGTGGATCCTGCCTTGACAGCCTGGGCACTCCTGAAGCGATTGTCATACTCTAAGACAGGCATGGCTGAAATGAAGATACAACACTGAACTGTCAGTTTCTGCAAATGGAATTTTTATAATAATAAAGATGAAAGTAATGCATTTACTTCTGTTTTTCTGCTGTTCAAACTAAGACCCTTGTTTTTACTTTCCTGTATATATGTGGGTTGTATATATTTCCTATATGGGGGGTCTTCACGGTGAAAGGATCAAGCCATCTGTCTCGCACTCTTAAGGTCATGTGTTTGTTATACAGACTTTTTTGTTAAATTCACAATACTTTTTAACTGCAATCCCTGGGGATTGTTGCTGGAGCTACAGAGTTTGTTCTTTGTGCAACACTCTTAAAGCTGGCAAGCCATGGAGAGAGTTATATTGGAAAAAAACTGGTTCAATGCAACTGATCTTCTTGACTAACTTTTAGCTTTTTAATTTCTCATATAATTATTCAATTTTCTTCTGTGATTCCTGTCCTGTGTTTCCTACATTAGACATGTTTCTCTATTCCCCTTTTTCTGCTGATGTATCCCATAAATTATGTTTTCAACTTATCATTTTATGAGTGATCTTGTAACATTCTACACTCAATCATTCATCTTTCATTTTATTTTCTTTCCATTGTAATTTCAACATTATTCTCATAATCTTATCTTTTCACTTCCCCCAAAGTCCTCAAACCTAGAGTCAAGAAAAGCAAATGCTTAAACATAATGAATACATACTATGAATGGAGAGTGTCCCCTCTGTTTGAACTTTCCCAAGAGGGTTTGAAGCTTCACAGCGGTATACATCTGCATCTTGGGGTTCTGTCTTGTGAATGACCAGGGAGGCAACTTCATCTTCATAGCTCATTTCATATTTTGCACTCTTTCTGATCTCTTTCTTGCCACGATACCTATTGAAAAAAAATAATTCCATTTATTAATCACAAAACTCTCTGTGGGGGTGTGGTCTTGTGATAATCAATTTAGATGACCAAACCAACTGATTTATTTAAAATGTATGTATCAAAGAGTAAATGAGAATACTACAAGATGAAGACCATCCACATTGCAGAAGAGTTTTGATAGTGAATTTTCTGGATTTTATGATGAAAAAAAACCTAAGTTCAATAACTTTATTCAATCATGTTATTTTATTTTAAATTGCCAGTATCAAAATCAGGTGCAGCTTATACATGGGATTGTCTTATACTCTGGGAAATACTGTATGTATTGTTTTTAAGCTCAACTCATGAACATAAATTTGCTTAGAAATACAGCAAAAGCAAAAACATGCTGGGGTTGGTTCAGCAGTTCTGCAATCTCCTATAAGGTACACTCAATTAACTTGACCTCGTGGTTGAGGAAATAATTGCTAGAGATTAAAAAGTTAAAGAGGGTTTAAGGGATTGTGTTCCTGTTGGATTGGCATCTGAAATGTCACTTATTTAGACTCTTAGGAGCGTAGAAACAAACAGTCCTACAAGAAGAGAAACATTAAACCATGAAATTATGAACTGTAACTTCCTGCTACCAAAGAAATGAACTAAGCACAAGGATGCAATTATTTAAATAAACCTAGCACAAGGATGCAATTAATTAAATGAACCTAGCACAAGGATGCAATTAACTAAATGAACCTAGCACAAGGATGCAATTAATAAAATGAACCTAGCACAAGGATGCAATTAATTAAATGAACCTAGCACAAGGATGCAATTAATAAAATGAACCTAGCACAAGGATGCAATTAACTAAATGAACCTAGCACAAGGATGCAATTAATTAAATGAACCAAGCACAAGGATGCAATTAACTAAATGAACCTAGCACAAGGATGCAATTAATTAAATGAACTAAGCACAAGGATGCAATTAATTAAATGAACTAAGCACAAGGATGCAATTAACTAAATGAAGTAAGCACAAGGATGCAATTAACTAAATGAACTAAGCACAAGGATGCAATTAACTAAATGAACCTAGCACAAGGATGCAATTAATTAAATGAACCTAGCACAAGGATGCAATTAATTAAATGAACCTAGCACAAGGATGCAATTAATTAAATGAACCTAGCACAAGGATGCAATTAATTAAATGAACTAAGCACAAGGATGCAATTAATTAAATGAACCTAGCACAAGGATGCAATTAATTAAATGAACCAAGCACAAGGATGCAATTAACTAAATGAACCTAGCACAAGGATGCAATTAATTAAATGAACTAAGCACAAGGATGCAATTAATTAAATGAACTAAGCACAAGGATGCAATTAACTAAATGAACTAAGCACAAGGATGCAATTAACTAAATGAACTAAGCACAAGGATGCAATTAACTAAATGAACCTAGCACAAGGATGCAATTAATTAAATGAACCTAGCACAAGGATGCAATTAATTAAATGAACTAAGCACAAGGATGCAATTAACTAAATGAACTAAGCACAAGGATGCAATTAACTAAATGAACTAAGCACAAGGATGCAATTAACTAAATGAACCTAGCACAAGGATGCAATTAATTAAATGAACCTAGCACAAGGATGCAATTAATTAAATGAACCTAGCACAAGGATGTATTTAATTAAATGAACTAAGCACAAGGATGCAATTAATTAAATGAACCTAGCACAAGGATGTAATTAACTAAATGAACCTAGCACAAGGATGTATTTAATTAAAGGAATTAAGCACAAGGATGCAATTAATTAAATGAACTAAGCATAAGGATGCAATTAACTAAATAAACCCAGCACAAGGATGTATTTAATTAAAGGAATTAAGCACAAGGATGCAATTAACTAAATGAACCTAGCACAAGGATGCAATTAATTAAATGAACCTAGCACAAGGATGCAATTAATTAAATGAACTAAGCACAAGGATGTATTTAATTAAATGAACTAAGCACAAGGATGCAATTAATTAAATGAACTAAGCACAAGGATGCAATTAACTAAATGAACTAAGCACAAGGATGCAATTAATTAAATGAACCTAGCACAAGGATGCAATTAATTAAATGAACTAAGCACAAGGATGCAATTAACTAAATGAACCTAGCACAAGGATGTATTTAATTAAAGGAATTAAGCACAAGGATGCAATTAACTAAATGAACCTAGCACAAGGATGCAATTAATTAAATGAACCTAGCACAAGGATGCAATTAATTAAATGAACCTAGCACAAGGATGTAATTAACTAAATGAACTAAGCACAAGGATGCAATTAACTAAATGAACCTAGCACAAGGATGCAATTAATTAAATGAACCTAGCATAAGGATGCAATTAATTAAATGAACCTAGCACAAGGATGTAATTAACTAAATGAACCTAGCACAAGGATGCAATTAATTAAATGAACCTAGCACAAGGATGTAATTAACTAAATGAACCTAGCACAAGGATGTATTTAATTAAAGGAATTAAGCACAAGGATGCAATTAATTAAATAAACTAAGCACAAGGATGCAATTAACTAAATGAACCTAGCACAAGGATGTATTTAATTAAAGGAATTAAGCACAAGGATGCAATTAACTAGATGAACCTAGCACAAGGATGCAATTAATTAAATGAACCTAGCACAAGGATGCAATTAATTAAATGAACTAAGCACAAGGATGCAATTAACTAAATGAACTAAGCACAAGGATGTAATTAACTAAATGAACCTAGCACAAGGATGCAATTAATTAAATGAACCTAGCACAAGCATGCAATTAATTAAATGAACCTAGCACAAGGATGTATTTAATTAAAGGAATTAAGCACAAGGATGCAATTAACTAAATGAACCTAGCACAAGGATGCAATTAATTAAATGAACCTAGCAAAAGGATGCAATTAATTAAATGAACCTAGCACAAGGATGCAATTAATTAAATGAACCTAGCACAAGGATGCAATTAATTAAATGAACCTAGCACAAGGATGCAATTAATTAAATGAACCTAGCACAAGGATGCAATTAATTAAATGAATTAAGCACAAGGATGTATTTAATTAAATGAACTAAGCACAAGGATGCAATTAATTAAATGAACTAAGCACAAGGATGCAATTAACTAAATGAACTAAGCACAAGGAATATATTTAGGAAGAAAGTCCTACCATTTTATATCAGCTTCGGGTTCACCCACATCAATGTCACACTCCAAGATGGCGTCATTGGGGGACACAACAGCAATGTCCTGCAGGGGTTCCAAGAGGACTGGAGCCACACCCACTGTAAGAGAAGCCAAAAATCCACAATGAATGTACATGCTTATCTTAATGTCAACTGTTACAGCTGCTGTTGCCAGTGATCCCATGCTTTTATCTCCATGACAGGCAATGGCATTATTTGAACTCTGTCTGTTCCAGACTGTTTTCTTTTACCTCGTTTGACCTCAAGCAGTTACTGTTTTTCAAGTAATAAATATTTATACTTTATACAAATATGTGTTGCTGCATGGAATAGAAACATGGAGAGCAATTTAATAAATTACTAATAAACTATAAATATTCATTAACTGAAGCCTGCAAGAATAGAAGAGAATGAAATGTTATGACAGAATTACTCTGGCTGAGCTCTGGGAGAGAGCTAAACAAATTCCAGTCAACCAAAAAATGAGGAAAAGATGCCGCCACTGAGAAAGCATAATAATAATTAAAATATTCTTGCATTGAAAATCAAGTGACCATAAACATACAGGGAAAAACCCACATAGAGAAAACAGGAGACCGCAGGTGAATAAAATGCGGAGGAAATGATGCCAGTTGCACATGATAATGAAAGATAGGATAATTTTGTTTGATTTTAAAGAGAGCCTATGATTCTAAGGAGATGAGATGAGTTAGGAATTGAAATCAAAGCACTCAGGATTTTTCCCATATGTCCTCCATCCCCATCTTCAGCATCCAGCACAGAGTACCAGTTTTGTTGGTACCAGTAGCAGTTCCCTTTAGTGCTGAGTGTTGGCTAGATCTTCTGGTTACCCCCCCCCCCCCACCCCCCCCCACCCCCCCCCCCCCCACTGCACCAATCTCTTCAAAATGTGATGCTCCATTTGTGCCTCCCCATGTTTACTCCCTCACATTAGGGAATAAATGGTAGAAGAAGAATTCTAGGTGAATTACTTTATAGGTTATTTATAAATGAATGTCCGTACTGATAGTGAATAAAGTCTAAAACACTTACAAGTGTTAAGATGATTATATGAAGCATATCGATACAAAAATATGTAAAGAAAACATTTTTAAAAATTAAAAAATTAAATAATTCTTGAGGCATTCTTGTGTACATTTGGGTCTGTGTGCCCTCATTATGTTTTTCCCTAAATTAATATTAAGATAATGACTTCTTCTTACTCCTCCACCTCCTTTATCTTCTATTTCTCTTTATTTTTCTTCTGTGGTCACCCTCAAAAGAGTTTTTGGTACACTGTGTTGTGGTGATTTAAGAATCAAATATAAACTTACGTGTAGGCTCCAGTACTTTCACAGGCTGTGTTGGCTTGGATGCCTCTCCTACTCCAGCTTTGTTCTCTGCACTGACTCTGAACTCATAGTCTTTATTTTCCTTCAAGCCAGTGACACTGAATGTGGTGTCTGGCACCGTCACAGTCTCATTTGCACGTCTCCACTGAGTTGTGCCTTCGGGACGGAACTCCACAATGTAGTTGGTTATGGGGGCACCACCATCAGATTCTGGAGCAGTCCATTTAAGAGCTACAGAACTCTTGTCTGTGCCAGTCACTTCAGGTGTGCCTGGCCGGCCTGGAACAGCTGGGGAAGTTAATAACATTAATAATAAGTGAAAGAAGAATGAGCAGACAGAAAATTTTAATAGTTCAAAATATGTTTGGCACGCATACACTTCTCGCGTTCTGAAGGTCATGGGTTCATTTCACGGCTGTGCTGGTCAACTCACGAGTGTAATTTTTACAGAGCTCCCATGAGATCATCTCTGGAGCCATGGAGTTCATGCTTTGTGCACACTCTTGGCTGGTGGCTAGCCATTCTGTGGACTGAGACAGAGCCACATGGGGCAAAACCTGATGCAGTGAATTCAATCCTCTTGGCTTTAACTTTTTTTTTCCCCACTCCTGTCTAATATAACATTAGAAAAGATGATAAAAATTAGTACATTAGTACAACATAATCTGCTAGAAAATATCCATACTGTAGTGTCAACTGGTGAGGAGAGGGACATAAATTCTGAGGCAGAAAATGATAACATCAGAGAGACTTTACAACAGTATCAAAGGATGATTGTCTAGGCAGCTACAACAGCAAGAACAGAACCCTGTAACTCAGCTTGATACCCAAAGCTGTAAAAAAGAAGAGAATAAGAAAAAAAAAACATGTGCCAACTGTGAGAGACCTGAACAAAAAAATTAAGTTATAAGAACCAAGGTAGCAAGCGGGCTGTCATACTCATAAAACTTTGACTCAGTAATGTACCTATTCTTAGTATCCATTTAACATAATAGCTTAATGTCAAGAACTTAGTCGTGGAACTGAGAGCCAGATATGTTTTCAAATTATGCCTAAAAAGCATTAGAAAATAAAATATGAAATTTATTCAGCACATCAAAAGAAGGGAGGATAGAAACAAATTAGTCTTATCTTGAAAACTGTTAGGTAGGAGATTCAGAGGAAGATGAAGAGAAACAGACGGCTTAAAGTACTAGAAGACTTCACTGGATATTCTCCAGAGTAGAAATAGTCACAGTGAATATCAAATGTGATCACCTGACTGTCACAGATATAGCAACACATATACTCAATTAGCATTTTAAAATAACAAGCCATGTTTTTTTTTAAGTATGCTTAGGTCATCATTTTTCGGCCATGTTATGAGAAGAGGGAAAATAGAAAATGTTGTGACCACTGGAAAGATCTGTGGAAGGAGGGATAGAGGAAGACAACGAGAGAAGATTCTTGACAGTCTTGTTGCATGGCAGGGAGGTGTGTCGGCACATGAACTGACACATGCTGCAGGAGATCGTGGATTATGGAGAGGCATGATCGCTTACGCCAGTCGGCAAGGCACCTGATGATGATGATGATGCTTAGGTTTAGCATCAGATCACATTGTTTGTTGTTTGGTACTCATAGGCAATAGCCTATCACACACAGTGCATTGGTTGAGACTGAAAGATCTTTGGTAACAGATAATAAAATAAACAACACCAGCTTCATAAAATAGCACGCAAGAGAGAGCTCCAGACAGTCATGATTATCCTTATCTGTTTTATACCAGGGACTTGAAAAAGTGGAAAAGATTTACATAACTGACTCAGAGAAATGTTACAAATGAAACTGAATTCAATACACACAGGACTTACTCCAAGGATCTTTGGCCTTGACTGAAGGTGAAGGCTCACTAGGACTGCTGGGTCCAGCAGCATTGATAGCAATGACTCGGAACTGGTAGGAGTTGTCCTCCACAAGATCAGTGACTCGGAGTTCAGTCTGTGGCACCGGCTGCTTGTTGACCACAACCCATCGTGGTGAGAAGCTGGACATTCGCTCCAAAGTGTAGCCAGTTACCGGTGACCCATTATCTTTAGCTGGTGGCTGCCAGGTGACCAAGGCACTGTCCTTGAAAATTTCTGTGATGATCGGAGCCGCTGGTGCATCTGGAACATCTGCAAGTAAAACCCCAAAGAAAATTAGTTTTATTTTCATGTGTACTTTTAAAGATGTTGAGAGTATGAGAAAACCATCATACATAAATACTGCAAGTATTAGTATATGGAGGAAGCCACCATCATGTAGCAGCTAGACACTTGCCTATGGATCAGAACATTGTAAGTTCAAGTCCTAATGCAGCCAGACTTTTTTTTTTCAAAAATGACGTTGGCCCCCTGGTCAACCCAGCCTTGACTGGGTACCAGGGGAAGTCCTGGGAAGTAAAGGTGGCGACATGATATTGACTACATCACCCACAGAGTGCTGAGTGGTCCATAAAATATATGTTTAGCACTATATGCCCAATATGCCTGAAGGTGTGAAAAAGAATACTAATCTTTTTTTTAAAAATTTGTTTATGGTTAACTCTTTGAGTCCCAGAGGGTTTGGCATCCCAGGCCCAAGTGGTAGTAAAGAAAGACGTAAAATCGGCGCATCTTGTGTTTACTGGGCTTCTAGGTAGGAACCTATGAATGTATGATGCGCTCCTTGGGACTCAAAGAATTAAAGTTAATCTTATGGTAGAGAATGATAGGTTCTCACTGAGACCAACAAATGGCCGGGCCGTGGATCCATCTAACATCTTGAAAAGCTGACAAATCAGCATAACTACTTTTTATAGTCCATGTTGTGTGGTACTGGTCAACACATCTGTACAAAACCTTCTGTCACATTTACTGCCAGTTATATCTGATATATCTGTTTGCCCCATGCAATCATGTCAACCTGCCCAACTTCAACTCTCTTGGTCAATCCCGCTTCTCTTTCCCACCAACTTTCCTGTTACCATCATGTACTCATATGTTCTCTTTCTCACAACACATCCAAAGAATCTGAACTGGTTTCTTCTAATGTGGGTTATCAGGTATCTTTGTAAATTAATATCTTTTCAGACATTATTAAAATGTTGTCTGCCTATGGTGTTTTCATCATTCTTTACACAAAAAGACCTCTTTGCAGCTTTCACATAATGACTACTTTTACTTACTCTGTTGAATGTCCATGACATATAACCATTTGTTATAATTTATAAGATTCATCAAAGACTATGCTAAACAATAAGCAACATTGTTTTTAAATATACATAACAACTACCTACCAAAAGGATTTTTAGCTGTGATAGTTTCTGATTCAGCAAACTTGCTGGAACCAACTTCATTCTTAGCACAGACTCTGAATATATACTGTTTTCCTTCCACCAATCCTGTGATGTGATATGGAGATGCATCCACTTCTGCAAGAGCATTCCAAGTCTGTCGGCTGGCATCTCGTTTCTCCAGGACATAAGTTTTGACTGGTTTGCCTCCATCATCCTCTGGTGGTTGCCATGTCAGTGTGGCAGTTTGTGCTGTGATGTCAGTGACAGAGACATCTCTGGGAACTGATGGTTTGTCTGAAGCAGAAACAGGAAACAGGGCATAAATACAGAAGCACAGTAAATAATAAACTAATGAACAGGACAGCCCCATGTGTCTTGCTAGCCTTATCATGCTAAAAATGACTAAATACAACATAAAATGTGACTAGAAAGCTCAGTGGAAGGAACAGAAAAGATGTGCACAAATATAGCCAAATGTTTGGACCATAGACTTTATCAATGGAGTAATAAATACAATACAAACAGGCAAGACAACAGAGCATCTTAACAACCAAGGTCAACATGAAACCAAGAAATATAAAACAGGGAGAAAAAGTATGGACTTGAAGGGCAGGTCTATATTATGAAACAAAATAAGTAAGAAAGTGTTTTAAAAAAAGAAGAAGAGAAATGTAAACAAGTAAAATAAATAAAAATTACAACAATTTAAATAAGCTCCGTTAAATATTAATCCTTCCAGGACTGAGAATGCCAAAACTATGAAAGAAACCATTCTCTAAAAAGTAACGGCTAGTTTGATCACTGGATAAAGAGTCTTTGGCAATGCCAAAACCTTATAATTGGCATAATATTTTTAGATGAATTAACCACTTAAAAAACAAACATAAGAAATCCATTAGACACATTCAGCCAGTCACGAAATAATAGTTACTGTTAATGTTTCTACACATTCACCAAAACTGACTGGCACTAGTGAAAAAAGCAGAGAAGACAGGTAGAGGTAAGTGACACACTAGACAACACAATAAAGAATCAGTAAGCTGTTTTATATGCTCAATACACTTTAAGGTGTTAAAAATAGAACCATATACTTTAGTTTTTAAAATTCCATTAATCAAAGTAAAACAATCTCAGGAACACGCTTAAAGGTGTTAAAAATAGAACCATATACTTTAGTTTTTATAATTCCATTAATCAAAGTAAAACAATCTCAGCAACAAGTATACTAGAATTATATGCTGCCAGTGTCACCATTATTCTTTATACATAAACAAGAAAGAGGCTTTTGTAGCACAGTATCAAATTGGCTTACTAATACAGAAGCCCAGGTTTAGTCCCTACTTAAAGAAGATATCCCTTTTCAAAGAGCTCTGTAGCAGTCCAGCTTCATAAACTGAGTACAAGAGAAGAGCTAGCAAAAGAAAGGCAAAAAGGAAAGGCACAGGTTACCCTCATCTCATCTGATGTAAAAGTGAAAGACAACCACTTCGTACCACAACAGTATTGTGAATTGTGCCCCATACATCGATAAGAAAGCAACACCTCTGGTATATAAGACAATAAGTCAAGATGTGTAAAGACACTTCAAGGTATATTTCCACTCACCCAGAACCAGCAAGTTTATTGTAATCTCTGCAATGCCATTGGTGTTCTCAAGTTTCACCGTGTAGTTGCCACTGTCCGTTCGGACGACATGACCCAGTCGTACGGTTGTCATGTTGTAGATGGTCTCCGCCTCCATACGTTTGGCATCTGGGAGTGGTCCTTCCTTGAAAGTCCAGGTGACTTTTGGCTGGGGATTGCCAGTGAAGGGGATCTCAAATGCCGTGGACTGGCCAGCGTGGAGAATCACAGTTTCCTGGTATTTCTTGTCAACAAAGATCTTTGGTGGTACTGGAATTAAAAAAAAAAAAATTATTGTGTGCACAGATAAAAAATTGCCTGTGAATCGGAGGGTTGTGGGTTCGCTCCCTGGCGGAAGCCCGACCTTTTTTTTTAATGACCTTGTCTCCCATGTCGACCGAGCCTTGAGTGGGTACCAGGTGCAGTCCCGGGAAATAAAGGCTGCTGGCGTGATGCTGACCAAATCACCCATCTTGTGCCAATTGGTCTATACAAATATAGGTCTAGCCCTATATGCCCTATACACCTAATGGCATGGAAAAGGGTCCTTTACTTTACTTTACTTTTACAGATAAAAAATATATTTAGTGTCTGTTGTTTTTAATTATTTTAGTAGGAGCTGTGATTACTTTTAATTCTTTTTTTTTCAAGAGGTTCTAGTTTATTTATTATGGCCAATGTCTCAGTTCAAAGCCATAACAATAATTACATTTTGGCAAATCCGATGAGCTGGTTCAAGAGCAGCAGATATCACAGCCTAGCTGTAAACCACAATGTGCCAACCTACTCCCCCTCTAAAGGCAAATGCAGAAGAATAGAGAAATAAAAAGAAACAGAGAGACAAGAGAAGACAAATGCCGTTTGCTACTAACCTTCAACTACAAGTTTAGCCTCCGACTTCTTGTTCTTCACTTCAATCCTGTAGACTCCTTCATCTTTGCCGTCTGCATCATTGATGGTCAATCGGTGGATGACACCCTTGCCAAAGATTTCATGTTTGTCGCTGGCTGTGATGACGCTGTCATTGTGGTACCACTTGGCTGGAACATTCACTTTGGACACCTCACACTCAAAAGTCAAGGTTTTTGGAATTTCAGTGATGGTGATATCTTCAAGGACACGAATGAACTCTAATTCTGTTTCTAAATAAAGGGAAAAAAAAGAAACAAATTGAAAAAAAAAAAAAAAAGATTTCTTTGCACATGTAGTAGTGTATAAAACAGTATCCTGTTGAACCCATCTGGGTTACATAGTTTTTCTTTTATATTTCACTATTGATATTTACACTTACACAGAAAGATGGTAATGTCATTCTAAAAAAAAAAAAAACCCATTTACTTATGCCCCATCCCCCCACCAAAAATTATTATCACATTTTAAAGATGTATTTATATCACTATCTCCTTTCCCTTCTGTCTTTATTTTAAAAAAAAAAGAGATTGAAATTTCCAAGTACCCAAACTAAGGCTGAGTCAACATGATCAGCTCAAAGAATTCACCCCTGATGGGGATTCAAACCCATTGTTGACAGGCAAGCTTGTTTCCACTACACCACCACACACTGCAAGAACTTGCATGAGAATGGAGGTTGAAAAGGTAACTAGCATTCTGATGAGTGAAGAAAATCTGAACCTGACATGTCATGGTATCGGATTTATAAAGCATGCTCAGGTTTTTAAAAATTCTTTATATGGTCACATCAATCCAGAGATTGCAGGTGGTGAAAGTCACAAGGCATGGCTATGCAGGTGTGTTTGGGAATGAGATAGGACAGCTGGTCTGGCTACACTGGGGGTGTAGTGCAACTGCACAAGGCAGAGGTGGTCTCTCAGCTGTGGCACAAGGTAACAAGTAAATGGGAAGAGACTGAAAACCATACCTGGAGTGAATAATGCAGCCCAGAGTCTCAGTGGGCTCTAAGCACCACTTGAGACTCGGAGTAAAGGCAAGTGAATAGATAACATTGGGTACCATTAATATGGAGACTTCGCTGACTGTTGAGGAGGGAGATGGAGCTAATATGAGCTTGTACTGAATGCTGAAATGTCCAATCTTTACCCAGATGACCCAGATAGGCCTACATATGATAATGTTAAAGCCTGACACTTTAATGAGGTACAAGGTGGAAGAGAAGAAGAAGAAGAAAGCCTGTCTACCAGCAAGACACATGACTTACCTATGACCTTAACTTCAGCTTTACAGCTCTTGCCATTAACCTTGACGGTGTACTCAGCCTGGTCAGTCAACTGAGCTCGCTCAATGACCAGACTGTGGTTACTGCCCTCTGAGCTCAGGGTGATGGTCTCTGAAGCGGTCACCTTTAGTCCATTCTTGTACCATGTTGAGGTCAGATCTGGTTTAGAAACTGTACACTCCAGGAAGATACTCTGACCTTCTGTGACCTCAATGCTGGCCAAGGGCTTCGTAAATTCCAGTGGTTCTTCTGTAAAGTCAATAATGTTTTCAGTTATATTATATATTTCAATGATGTCCATCAATGCCATCTTCTCATCACATGACCAAAGTACACACTGTCTTTCTAACAGTTGCAAATACTTTTCTAATCTTATTAGGTTTTTAGGCAACTGATGTCAGTTACTCTGCCTAAACATGTAATCATGACAAATATTTCAGAAAGCTCATCTCTGAAGAAACAGTTACCTGTGTAAAGTATGTACTCGAATAATAAAGTATACAAACTGTTTAGCATATTTACGTATATATATATTAGATTTAATTGCCCAGCTTTGCCCAGGATAGTGAAAGAAAGTCCTATTCTCCCAACACCCTAATCTTGGTCTCTGTTGCTGTCCTATATGTAGACCTAGTGGAAATAGGAGTCTAATTAAAACTCTATATTTAATTTAACATCTTCTTCTTCATCTTTGTCTCCACCACTGTCATATCTTTAGTCATTGCCCCTAAGTGCACCAAAGGCATCCTCTGTAATACTAACACCAGTGTTTAACAATTTGGAAATCAGACAAATGTATTGTCTCAGACACACATTCACACACACACACACACACTCACGTATATATATATAAGGAACATAACAGCGAAATATAATTTTTAAAAATTACCTTTAGTGAAGTAATAGGAAAATATATTCAAAGGGATATAACTATAGGCAAGATTACTTTCACTGACTGTTGCAATTAATAAAGGGAATACACATAAAGCTGACCGCCAGTGTGACTGTTAAATTAAAGTCTGTAGCCATAAAGGTAATTGAAAGTTTAACCCATGTAGCGGTCATGGCTGCAGAGGAGTTAACACTTCATTTAAAATGAACATATGAAATACAGAAAGAGTGATTTAAAGAGCACGCGCGTGTGTGCGTGCGTGCATGTGTGTGTGTATATATATATACATATTTATATATATATATATATATGTATATAGATTAAGGAGGCAAAGATAACCAAATGAAACCCTTAAACGAATGTTGATGAGAAAGGCCAAAGCTGTTGGACTAGATTCCATCCATGATATTTAACTGATTGCACAGAATAAACTGTGAGCCCTGTGTGACAGATAATGGTACAACAGGACAATAAAATGAATATGTATATGCCTTCTCATTTAAACAGTTCTATAAAAATAGGGAAAAACCACAGAACACAATATTACCTTTGACAGTGACCTTAGCCGAGGTCTTTCTGTTTCTCACAGTGCACTTATACACTGCGTCATCTGCAACAACGGCCTTCTCAATCTTCAGAGTATGTGTTCGACCATCTCTGAGAATCTGGACACGGTCAGAGGCATCAATGTTCTTACCATCCTTCTGCCAGGTGGCTTCTAGGTCAGGCTTGTTGACCTCACATGTCAGGGTCAGTGGTTGGTTCTCCAGGACTTCAATGTCCTTCAATGGTTTGGTGAATTCAACAGGCAGTTCTGTTCATGAGAGAATCATGTAATCCAGTTGTTGAAAATATGTTCAAATATTTAGGTCAGCATAAAGACGGTATAGCAATATACATACAGATTCATACAAAGTCTGACGATAATGCACACTAGATTCCTCTGTGATGGTATACCTGCGTACAGCCATGGATGACTCAGATTCTAAGTAGTATCTCCAATACCTATGATACAAAGCTGGATTCACTCCAGTCAGAGATAAACCCTAGATAGGCCACTGTTATTTAGCTAGAGAACTAGACATTATGGCCCTGTGTTGAGACTTACTAGGTAATAAGGCCATATCATGTTAGCTGGCCTTACAGCCCAGACCATTTGTTTATATCCATTGTAGGTTAGGTCTAATCCCTGTTTCGAGGGAGAATCAAATATATGACAAATGGATTACCAAGTAAGCATGCAAGTCTTTGTGTTACTGTGACTCTCACATGCTACAATATTTTTGATATAAACTAACTACAAAAATTAATAAAACTATAAACCGAAACAAACAGTCATTCTAGACTCCATAGCAGAAAAGGAATTGCTAAGAGAGAAACACTTTTTTCTTTTTAGTCCAAGCCATGTGGTGTTGGTAGTTATATTTATCTACAACCTTCTCTCTCATTTACTTTCAGTCAGTTCTGATACAGATAACCTTCCATGCCATGAGGTTAAACTATCTGACATCTTTTCTCTTGGTGTCCCTATGCGTCAAATTTCCCACCATCATGATTTACTCCAGTTTTCTCCTCCTCATGACATGACCAGAGAATGTAGATTGTCTCTTTCTGATGTTGGCAATCAGTTCTATTCGTTAATCAATTAAAAAAAAAAATGGAAACAACAGTTAAAAAATGTAATCATTTTAATATATATTTGAAACATAAGCACAAATGGTTACATATACATAGTGAATGTCTATCCCATGCACAACACAGGAACAACACAATGTACAGTAAACATGAACATCAGGCAGTTAGATGGTAGTCATGGATTACCTAAAACTTTCAGATCAGCTGAGCTCTCCTTATCTTCAAAACTGACTGTATACTTCCCAGCATCCTGCAGTTCCACATCCTGTAGTTTGAGACTGTGCATTTTTCCACTGACAGAGATGTCATAGCCACCTTTCTCTGTGATGGTTTTGTTATTAAACTTCCAGGTGGCCTTGGCATCTACTTTAGACACCTCACAGACAAACTCAACTGTGTCACCTTCAGTGACCTCCATGTTGTGAAGATGTTTGGTAATTTCTAGAGGCTCTTCTGTTATAAATAGTATATGGGTTGATTAACTTCATGCTGTTAATTAATGCATCTAAGTTAATAACACTTAAAGACACTTGATCTCTCAGTAAGGCAATAGTGTCATTTAAAGGTAGAAGGTTTAAAGTTATGACTTAACAGTTTTTGTCAAGAGTTTTTATTGGTGTGTCAACTAATATCTAAACTCTTTTCTTATGTCCAGCTTAAATGAATTATTGTCTTTGTGTTGTGTTATCTTGTATGTTGAAAAATATATACTTTTCTTTATTCCCGGTTGACTCTAATGTAATAGCATCAATTTAAACAATTTCCTTTTCAGCCCATTTGGGTTATTATTGGAATATACAAAGTTTTTTTCTATTTCAGTAACAGATATTTTTGCTTTTCAATTTTGTTTGGTCAATACTGCATAGCTTATGTTTTCATTGAATAAGGCTGTAGGAGAATAAATTGTCAGATTCAATATATTTAAGTGTACTTTTAGACAATTATAATCAATATACTGTGTAGTCTTGTCTTTGTGTAAATTTAAAGTGATCTGCAACACCATTATTCTGAATCTAATGTATTTGCTCTTCTGTTGCTTATAAGAGTTTCCACTGTCAAGATGTGGTATGGACATTTCTGTGAGAAACCTCAACTTACAGATGGGTGATTTTGTGTATTACTGTTTGTGTCATATGCTTATGAAGGCTTTTTAACCAAAATGTTCATTTATCATTTGTGACTGTGGTAATATGAAGCTTATTAGTTTTACTTCTTCTTTGGATTGCTATATTGTCAAGGTATTTTCTGTTGCCTAGTGTGTTTTCTCATAGTTACTAATAGCAAGACGGATATAAGTATTGGAACTCTGCACTGGCTGCTGAAGATGAGGACAGAGCATGCATGGAAATACCCGGAGTACTGTGATGTCAATTCTTGACTCAGCTACTTTCTTTACTGTAGGTTTAGAGTGATTGTAATGTTTCTGCTTGTAAGTTGCCTAGGATGTCATCTAATTCTAATTATTATATGTCCATTTTGTTAATTTATTTTATACATTTTGGTTAACGTTAACATTTTTGGTTAACGTTTTAAGCAAAGAACATAAGTATTAAGCTAATGTTAATAAGCATTAAGGATGTAAATTAACATAACAGAGTATTTCAATGGTTAGTTAAAAATAACCTAACAGTATTTCAATGGTTAGTTATAAAATAATAAACTACTTTTTATCAATATTATGTTTCCAAAAAAAACCTATAATTAAATTGTAAGCAATGTTGTTAAATAACTGAAGGAAACTAGACAGATGCAGCAATGAATTAATGTATAAAAAGGTGAGTTGCGTATCCTTTACAGGACATTGCATAACCAACCCCAACAGCCCCTGGCTGTTGTGTGGTTTTTCTAGGCAAATTTGCGTCCAGTAGTTTGCCATGAATTAATGTACAGGAAATGTAAATATGTCATAGAGTTACTTTAAAATTAATTACAGGATCAGGTATCTAGTCTCTCCCTAACTCTCCTTAGCTTTCCCTTAAGACATTAATTTAATGGAAGGTTAATTTTGCTTCATTTATTCCCAGGTAACACACAAGTGAATAGCAAGGCTTAAGATGTTTTGGACATCTGTAAACAAAAATCCTGGCCTCACTATGAAATTGAGGCCAGATAACCTGATGTATGAGTCCTGTATCCTATGTTATCACCCCCTACCCCCGCCTCTTTTTTCCCTATCCCTCTATATGACACATGTCCCTAAAGCAAGTCTGCTAGCTATAACTGATGACTTACCTTCAACAAAGACAGAAGCTTCACTTGTTGCTCCATCAACTTCCACTTTATAAACACCTTCATCATCCAAATCCACTGAATCCACAATGAGACGGTGAACTTTGCCCTCTGAGGTCAGCCTGATTCTGGCAGAGGCAGAGACCTCCTTGCCATCAACAAACCATTGGGCAGTTTTGTCTGGGTTGCTGACTTCACACTCCAGGTGTAGACTTTGGTTTTCAATGACTGTGATATCAGCCAGTGGCCGCACAATTGTTGTGGCAACAGCTGTAAGGAGGAAGTACATTAGGTCATAAGTAACTGAGCTATAGACCTGGAACAGTCATAAGGAATTAATAGGAACATGATTAAATAGAGTTAATTAGTTGAACTATCTTGGAAAAGTCAACATCTGATGGAAAATTCCCTGCACAGATTATAACAAAAATAGCCATGGAAAACCTTTTTTTTTTTTTTTTCAAAGTAGAAAAATACCTACAAGTAAAAGCTGTTGTGTTCAAGTGATAAACAGAAGCTTTAGACAAAGACATGTGATAAAGAGAAGCTTTAAAGTCAAGTGATAAAGAGAAGCTTTATACAAAGTCATGATATTGAATTGATGACCCATCAAGTGTCAAAATTGGAATTTCCCTATACAGTAAGTGATCAGGATTTGAGAAATGGTTCTTTATGATAGTTCTGCCGCTAACCAAGATCGCTTTTTTTTGGGTCTGAATTCCCATTAGTGATTGGACAATAACAGCACATGATGAGACAGATTTTATGGCAAGAGAAATGTTGTATATGAGAAAATTTCAACTACCATCAGCGAAAAATAAAAAGATGCATCATGCAAGCTTTCAAGAAGCAGGTGCAAAGTTAAACTGATATGAGAAATTAGATGCCTGCCAACAGTCAATACTTTTTTTTTAATAACAAGAAATAAACTTGAAAACTTAATGGCAACTGGCAAACTTTATTGTAAAAGAGCAAGGGAAAGACAAAGAAACCATTTCTGAATAGTTTCAAGACATGGCCTAACTGCGTCAAGAGCATAGATATGATCTGAACATAGGTAGACATGTGATCATACACACTTTTATTTTTTTTGCACTTCACATGATTATCAGGAAAGAAATACCAGGAACATTATAAAGCTACCTTTTATTTCTGACTGGAAAGAATCCAGAAAAGTACAAATAACATACCTTCGACTCCAAGGGTAGCTGATGACTTCTTGTCTTCAAACACCACCATGTATTTTCCAGCATCCTCCAAGGTGGCTGAGTCTTTGGTCAGAGTATGAACTTTCCCATCCACTTTGACCTTGAAGCCATCTTCTTCTGAAACTTTAAAGCCATCTTTTAGCCAACTGATTTTAACTCCTGGCTTGGAGAGCTCACAAGTGAAGACCACAGGCTCTTTCTCTTTAATCATCTGATCCTCCAAATGTCTGATAATTTCTATTGGTGATTCTGAGTGAAAATAATATGACAAGCAATTCATGTTTGATGTAACATCCTCACCATTTATAGCAAATTTAAATGTTTGTTTTAGGATCTAGAAGCCATAAGTTGTTAACCCTTAGGCTCGGTATTATGGATATCGCAACCTTTCAGCCTTGATTCCATTGTAAATACCGTAAATCTGGGGAAAATGTGGCTTTCCTGCCTACCCCCGGGATTGAACCCGGACCACAAGGAGTTCGTCACCCGGTCTCTGTGCAATCTGGTTTAGCCAACTACGCTAGAGAGCCGGGCAAAGAAAATTTAAATAAAACATACAGACCGAAGTTGTTAGCAGAAAACTGGAAAAATAGATGTTCCATAATTTTAGATTATTTGTCTTCCCAGTGACATAGCATATTCATCTTCTTCTTTCATTCATGTTCTTCTTTCATTCATTCCCCAATAGAGCAGAGTACCTCAACCCATTTTTTGACATCTTTTAAGTCTGTTTGTTAAAAATGTTTTTGCAGGTAAAGTCCAACACTACTTTTAGCATTTTTTTTTTTAAATATTTGACTCCATCTGGGATACTGCAGCTGAAAGAATGAGACCAAGTCACTTAAACAGTTACTTTTCTGATGACATCCAATAGGAGCAAATCCTGAATACCCAATTCAATCATATAACAATTATATTGGGGCACCCTTCTATTTGAAGTAACCTGTTGTCAAATGGGTTAGGACTTTGTATAGCTCTCTTTACTTTTAGTAGCCTCTTTTGACATGCCAGTTTATTGTTCATTGTTGAGAATTCAGGGACCTTTCATAGCCTACTACTGTGAGATGTCTGATTTATATTTGAACGTGTTGGTTAGAACCTGGCAATAAAATTAAGAAACATTATTTTGATAATACCCCCTCCCCCCTCTATAATACATACATACATACATATATATATATATATATATATATATATATATATATACATACATACATACTTACTTACATACATACATACATACATACATACATACATACATACATACATCCATCCATCCATCCATCCATCCATCCATCCATCCATCCATCCATCCATCCATCCATCCATCCATCCATCCATCCATCCATCCATCCATCCATCCATCCATCCATCCATCCATCCATCCATCCATCCATCCATCCATCCATCCATCCATCCATCCATCCATCCATCCATCCATCCATCCATCCATCCATCCATCCATCCATCCATCCATCCATCCATCCATCCATCCATCCATCCATCCATCCATCCATCCATCCATCCATCCATCCATCCATCCATCCATCCATCCATCCATCCATCCATCCATCCATCCATCCATCCATCCATCCATCCATCCATCCATCCATCCATCCATCCATCCATCCATGCATGCATGCATGCATGCATGCATGCATGCATGCATGCATGCATGCATACATACATACATACATACATACATACATACATACATACATACATACATACATACATACATACATACATACATACATACATACATACATACATACATACATACATACATACATACATACATACATACATACATATATATATATATATATATATATATATATATATATATATATATATATATATATATATATATATATATATATATATATATATATATATATATATATATATATACATACATACATACATACATACATATATACATATATACATACATACATAAAATATATTTCAAGCAAACAAAAGAACAATACATACATAATCAGTTTAGCAGGAAATATGAAGGTAAAGGAAAAGGTGAGGCTGATAAGAGAATGATATGAAATAAAGTAGCTGAACAAAGACAACCAGTAAAGTTGTCAATATCTGCTGAAGAAAAGAATGAGCATCGCTTAGTTTATATGTGTTTAGTCTATCCAACATTTTTAAAAGTCAGTAATAAAAAAACAGAAAGCAACCAGTAAATAACTTGTTTATGTGTTGACTCCTGTACCTTCAATAAGCACTAGAGCTTTGCAGCTCTTGTCCCCAGCAAAGAGAGAATAATTAGCTTCATCATCTACATCAGCAGCATCAATCTCTAGCCGGTGAATGCAACCATCAACAGACAGCCGAGAGTTCTCGCCTGGGACAAAGGAGACTCCATCTTTCTTCCAGGTGACCGGGTAATTGGGTTTTGACAGCTCGACCTCCAGGACGAGCTTCTCTCCTTCAGTGACGGTTGTGTTACGTAGAGGTTTCAGAATCTCAATGGGCAACTCTGTAAACCAAGGAGACAGCCGTAGGTTCATGTTATTTTGTGTTTGGTATCACTTGCACCATTACGCAACATTTGTTACATTTGAAAAATAAATATTTATACTCAATATAACCAGCACAGGGAGTTGCCGTGGCCGAGCGGCTAGACGCTCGCCGCGGATCGGAAGGTCGAGGGTTCGCTCCCTGGCGGAGCCAGACTATTTTCAAAAATGACCTTGACTCCCAGGTCCACCCAGCCCTGAGTGTGTACCGGTTGCAGTCCCGGGAAGTAAAGGCGGCCAGTGTGATGCTGACCACACCACCCATCTTGTGCCGTTGGTCTTTAAAAATTTATGTCTAGCCTTATATGCCCTATACGCCTGAAGGTGCGGAAAAGGGTCCTTTACTTTTTTACTATAACCAGCTCATATCACCAACAAACTATAACATTTGAAAAAAAAACAAAAAAACTGCATAGTTAACCGAAACTACCTATATGGTCAGATAGATTATGGTAGAAACAAAGCTGAATAGATCAGCAGAGGTCATGTGTTGCACTACAGCCTTCTTAGAGGCCTGTGGCCTTCTCAGGAAAACTACCAGCAAGGAGAAGAATTTTGCAATTTTATTATTAAAATGAGTTGGAGCTCAGATTGTAAGTACTGCACACCTGATTACCAGGCACTGTTGATTCATAATGTCAGGTGTCACTTCTGCCACATATCAAATCACTAGACTGATTCAGTTTCAAATGTAATCCTCCATATTTCACGGTCTTAGCTGTTTGACTATTCTGCTATTCTACTCACCACTTATTCAACATTATTGAGGTAATAAGCTGTAGATGACTAGAACAATGGTGGAGAAGGATTCCCTAGGTAAAGAGGAAAGTTCATGAGGCCAGACAATTGGCAGGGTGCTGAGTGTCTTTCCAGTTACAAGAGCAATGTTTTGCCCGATCTACTACACGACGATGTTGTTGTTGTTGATGATGATGCTGATGATGATGATGTGGATTATAGAATTTATCTCAATAAGAGGTAAAGAAGAGATGCTTGTACTGGAAACAACACACACTGAGAAAAATTAAGAACAACATAAGTAGAATGTCTTTGCACTAGAACCTACAGGTGCAAAGAAATGAAGGGAAATCCCCCCAAAAACATATATAGAAGGGAGCGAGACAATGAAGTTAAAAAGATGGGGATGACATAGGGTTAACTGCATGCAATAGCCAAAGATTAGGATAACTTTGTCTGAGCTGGTTGAGGGTCGATGCCCCATTGGGAGATAAAGGGCAGAAGAAGAAATGTAATACATATCCTGATAAGTGAAATACTAATCCTGATAAGTGAAATCCTAATCCTGCAAAGTGAAATCCTAATCCTGATAAGTGAAATACTAATCCTGATAAGTGAAATAATACTGACCTTCAACTATGAGTGTTGCTGATGTTTGCTCATCACACATGACACAGGTATATTTCCCTGCATCTTCCAGTCTGGCATCCTCAATGACTAGCTGCTGCACAAAGCCATCAGTTATTGCCTATAGTGACATACACACAAAACCTGATCATGAACATGATTAATTGGTTAAGGTCTATTATGAACTCTTTAAAAAAAAAAAGACTGTTTTACAGCAGATGCTAAAGACTAGAAACTATCTCACTTCATGAGTATTTTTTCAGCATGGCCATAGAGAAGGTCAGATTTTTAAAGTGTATTTGTACCAAATGTACAGAGTAAAAGAAAACATTATGTGATGGTTGATTTTTAAGGATAAGCCGACCATAAAATACCATGCAGAACTGAAAAAGTGAAGCCTGTCCTAGCATAGTTACGCTACTTTTGTGGTCAAAGAAAACATAATTCTTTTTTAATATGAACTAATATGAACATATATTACTAAAAGTTTTGCCTCTTAAGGACTATGCATTGGTACTGGTAGTCTTGTTTTTCCCCAGCCTTCTGTCTCATCTACTTTCAGTAATTTCTGACATTTGTGATCCACATAATGATGTGAAACTGTCCAGCATCTTTTCTCCTCGTTTCCCTTTGTCTATCTTTCTCTCTGCTTTTCCATTGTCATAACATATTCTAGTGTGTCCCTTCTCCTGATGGTTTCAAAGAAAGTAACCATCATATGAGTATGATTTTTATAACTGACACTTTAGAACACAATAACTAACATACACATAAGAACAACATAACTAACATATGCGTAAGAACAACATTAACTGACACAAAAGAACAAAATAACTAACTAACATTTAAGAACAACATAAATGAAACATAAGAACAACATCAATGACACATGAGAACAACATAACTGACACATAAGAACAATATCAATAATTGACTCACAAGAATGATATTTATAACCAAAACATGAGAATATTTTTAAAGACAAAAAACAGTAAGTATAATTGACACATGTCACACTGACCTGAATGCGGTCATCCAGTGTGAGCTCCTTGCCGTCTTTAAGCCATTTGACTGGCCGGTCACGCTTGGACAGTTGACACTCAAAGATCGCCATTTCTTTTTCTGGGATTTCTTGATCATCCAGTGGGGTTGTGAAGAATGGTGGGATTTCTGAAATAAAACATTTAGATTTAGAGCTGTAGTGGCACAGCCACTAGAATGAAAAATGAGAGAGAGAGAGAGAGAGAGAGAGAGAGAGAGAGAGAAGAGAGAGAGAGAGAGAGAGAGAGAGAGAGAGAGAGAGAGAGAGAAATAGAGAGAGAGAGAGAGAGAGAGAGAAAGAGAGAGAGAGGGAGAGAGAGAGAGAGAGGGAGGGATGGAGAGAGAGAGGGAGGGAGGGGGAGAGAGAGAGAGAGAGAGGGAGAGAGAGAGAGAGGGAGAGAGAGAGAGAGGGAGAGAGAGAGAGAGGGAGAGAGAGGGAGAGAGAGAGAGGGACAACTCCCAAGAATCTACAAAAAACATAATCCCCGCAAACTGAACAAAGCAGCCTGAAACTGACCCCAAACCTTTAAGGCATGAGCCAAACAGCTTAATCACTATGCCAGGGAAACCACTAGCTTTACATTATCAATGATAATAAAGAGGCCTTATGGGTCTCTGTGGCAAAGTGGTCAAGTAATTTGCCTCATGCTCTGAAGGTCTAGGGTTCGTTTCATGGTTGTGTCATTCAGTTCCCGAGTGCAATTTTTACGGAGATCCTGGGCACTGTCACTGGAGCTACGGAGTTTGTGCTATTTGCGATGCTCTCGGCAGGTGTCTAGCTGCTCTGCGGAGAGAGACTGAACCATATGGGATAAAACCCAGTGCAATAAGGTTGATCCTTTTTAGTTTAACCTTTAACCTTTAAAAAAGAGGTCAACACTTACCATAAATTTTCAGCTGGGCAGAAGATTCCTTATCATTGGGTAGGACAGCCGTGTACTCGCCCTCATCTTCTGGTATTGTGTCCATGATTCTCAGAATGTGGCGGTAGCGGTCACAGATTATCTTGATGCGATCACTTGGGGTCAGAGGTTTGCGGTTTTTCAACCACTGAACCTTGACTCCTGGCTTGGTAACAATACATTCCAACTCCACATCCTGACCCTCGCGACCTTCTACGTCCTTCAGGGTGGCAGTAAACTCAGCTGCAACTTCTGAAACAACAGATGCAATATGAGTAGTGAGGGAGTGTGAAGTTGACAAACAACCTGGAAGCTAAGATAATGGTGAAGAAGAAATAACACACACACTTGCATGCATGCACGCGCACACATGTGTGCACATGCTTTGCACACACACATATGCACGCATATGTGCACACACATGCATGCACACATACACACACTTAAACTTTCAAACATAAATTGTATGGGTCCTTTTTAAACTAACAGTGTTACAAATGGAATTATTCTCAATATATGGGAAGTAGAAATAAGACACATTTTACTTTACTGGCATATCGAGCATATGGTGCAACACCCATATTTATAAACCAAACAGCACTCAGTGGGTAATGTGGTGAATATCAAACAGGCCCCTTTACTTCCCAGGATATTACCTTTTTAATGCTTGATTATTTGGGGCTAACTGTATATTCCTAGAGAAACCAACCGTCAGTAGGCGATGTGGCCAATATTAAATCATCCACCTTAATTCCTAGCAACCTTTTATCCATTTTTGGAAGAGTGCATCTAAGAGACAAGGGAAATGTACAAATATACAAAAACAATATCAGCATACCTTCTACACGGAGCTTAGCCTTGGACTCGCAGCCATTGATCTTCACAGTGAACTCAGCTTCATGGTCAATGGTGACCTCTGGGATCTTCAGAATGTGTCTTTTGCCATCCATGATGAACTCGAAGCCATCCTCCTCTGTGATGATCACACCGTCCTTCAGCCACATGGCTGGGGCATTCTCCTTGTTGACCTCACACACAAAGCTGACAGTGTCTCCCTCTAAGCATTCAATATCGGAGATTGGCTGGGTAATGCACAGAGGAGCCTCTGCCAGAAAAAAAAATACAATGACGAGTATTATTATCACTGCAGAGAGCAATGTTATACAGATACAAAAAAAGTAGAGTCAGAGGTTGACCACACAGAAGATGGACCACAGAAATATCATAGACACTGAAAAGTACTTAACAAAAAGTGAGCAGAAGAGCCTGTTCCAGAGATCTCTTTCTGCCCTGATGCTGTGAGGCATTCCAGGAGTAGAGAAAAGAAGAAGAAGAAGAAGAAGAAGAAGAAGAATGTTAGCATCACAACATTTGGGATTTTGGTATAACCGCTCCATCCCCATCTTCAGAAGCCAGTACAGAGTTCCAGCTGACACCAGTAGTCTTACTGTATACGCGTCTTATCTTTCCCTTGAGTTTTTGAGTGTTGGCCAGAAGGTAGCTATAATGTTCTAAAAAGGAGATTACGAAAAGAAATAAAGAAATCCCAGTGAAACTATAAGCATGAACCCAATGTTGCCACTAGGTAGGGCAGATACTAAGAACACCTGAAAATAGTTTAACTAGAATGTCATTACACAGGAACATACAGGGCCATTTTGTATAATGGGATGTGAAATAAAACTTTGTGTCTGAGAGAAGCCATGTCCCAGATCGGAATCCCGTTAGTTCTCTCTCTACTGTACAGAAAAGAAACCATGTAATAAACACAGCTGGATTCAGTGACACTGGGGATGTAAACATAGTTTCATAATTCTGACACACCCTGTTACTGTAGGTCAGAAATGGTTAACCTATTATTCATATACAAATGGTTGCTATAATGACTGTCTGTGATAAAAGACTGCAATAATATTATTGATAACATCAGAGAAGCTCTACAACAGCACGATGTGCCTATGGTCGAGGTGGCCAGAAGAGCCAGAAACAGAACCTTATATCTCCCTTGACACCCACAGCGGTAAAAGAGGAAGTGAAGAAGAAGAAGAAGAAGAAGAAGATTATTTTACCTTTGGAATGTCAGAGAAATTACTTTAGTTTCAGGTGTGGACAATTTTGCATGAGACCACTTTGCATTCATTTTGAAAATGATTTAGGCAACAAAGTTTTCAGAAGTCAATGGCAAACTACTGAATCTAAAAACACACAAACATTCAACAAATGCTTGGGTTGGTTTGCGATGTTCTTTAAAGACAATACAACTAACTAATATTTAAAAGACCAACCTTCGACAAGAAGCAAAGCAGTGGAGCTCTTGTCCTCCAGCCTGATTGTGTATTCAGCTTCATCTTCTAAATCAGCCTTAGGTAGGCTCAAGGAATGGACAGGTCCGTCCACCGAGATCACTACACTGTCTGATGGACTGACTTCCACATTGTCTTTGTACCATTTGGCTTTGAGATTAGGCTTGTTGACTGTGCAGGTCAAGGTTACTGGTTCACCTACAATGACCTCAGTCTCAACTAAAGGCTTGAGGATCTCCAATGGCACATCTGCAATATGTCACACAGAATGGTTGGAGTACACAATGACCTCACAAACATGAAGGGTACTAAAAATGAACTTTGATCTCCTCCTTGCCCTCTTCCCCAGCTTCTTCTATTCCTTACCCCCTATGTCTTGCTTTTTCTCCTGCTACTTCTTTTGCTGTTTTCTTCTGCCTAAACTTCTGCCTTCTTTTTCTTCCTCTTTGTGTTTTTTCTTCTTCCTCTACTTTTTTGTCTCAGAAGTTGCCTGGCCTGGAGCAGATGCATGACTTCCCAATAACCTTGTGCCCACTCATTTTCCGTTTCATCTAATACTTTAACAAGTGGATGTTGTTTAACTTATATATAAGTATTTCAGCTTTCAATATATGCCCTTCTTTGTCTTTTTCTGTCTTGTTTCTGTGGTGATTTTATTTTGAACATATAAAAAAAAAAAATGAAATTCATGTCTTTGTGTGACACTCTTTTGAACAAACCATAGTTATACAGAGAGAGACCAAACAAAATAGGGGTAAAACCAAATGAAGTCATTTCTCCTGCCTTCAAACAATTACAAAATCTATGCTGGCTGCTGAAGATGGGTACAGAGCACTTGTGGGAATATCCTGAGTGCTGTTATGTTCAGAACTCACCTTAACTTAATCAATTTAAACTTCTAAAAAATTATCTATTATAAAATTGCCTTATGATTCTCACCTGAAATTGTGAGGGTGGCTGAGGTGTCAGTGTCACCAACTCTGGCAATGTAGACTCCACTGTCTTCTGGGTTTAATTCCTTGACAGTCAGTGAATGTTTGCGGCCATCTTTGCGAACCTCGTACTTCTCGCTGGGTTCAATCTTGTCCTTATTATGCAACCACTCCACATCAGCATCATCTTTAGACACCTCACAGGTGAAAGTTGCAGATTCCTTGGCTGGGGCTGTGGCATCTGACAGCTTCATTGTGAAGTCTGCAGTTACTTCTGTAGACATAACAGAATATTGTTCTACTTTAATATCTGATTTTTTTTTTTTTTGGGGGGGGGGGGGGGGGGGGGGGGGGGGGGGGTATATTTATATATCTTATCCTTTTCTACATTTAGTTATATGTAACACTCACTTATATACACAAATTGTATATGCACCCTCACATACACTCAGGACTAGAGGGGCAATGCATAATTTGTGGGTGTATTTTAAAAGTATACAATCTACACTTGGGATTAAACCAAAGTGCTCAAACTAGAGTCCTGACATTGTAACTCTAAGCCAATCTGCGTAAAATGAATGTAACTTTCTTAAACTAAAATTAATGTTTTTTCTCTCTTTTGCTATACAGCTTCAAAGTGAAGTATGGGTATCAAGGTAAAAGTATAAACATCTTATGAAACCCTTGTATAATTTGTCATATTATAAGCTACTTATAACATCTATTGCACTTAGTTGTAACACTACGCTACTTATAAGATCCTTTCTACTTACCCTGAACACTAGGCTACCTATAGAATCTCTACCACTTTCCTTGAACACTTAGCTACTTGAGGAATCCCTACCAATTATCTTGAACATTAACCCACTTATAGAACCCCTACTACTTACCTTGAACATTAAACCATTTACAAAATCCCTGACACTTACCCTGAATGTTGAGCTAGTTATAGTATCCCTATGACATACCCTGAACATTGAGCCACCTATAGAATCCCTACCACTTACAGAATCTCTACCACTTACCCTGAACACTAAGCTTGGCTGAACTCTTAGCGTCCTTTATTTGTATGGTGTACTCTGCTTCAGCATCTACTGGAGTGTCCTTGATGGTCAGGGTGTGTGTCCTCCCTTCCACGGAAGCAATCACCAGGTCGGAGAGGACCAGTTCTTTTCCATTCTTCAGCCATCTAGCAGGAAGGTCTGACTCGGTGACCTCACATGTGAAGGTGACAGTCTCGCCTTCCTTGCACGTTTGATCGGTCAAGGGGACGGTGAACTCCAGTGGTGCTTCTGTGTGTGGTGAAGGTGCAGGATGAGAAGATAAAAGGACAAAGCAAATGTAATAAATTGCAACAACTACACAAACACAAGAATGGACATAGCTGATATAATCAATGTTCTACAGACTATTATACCAATGGACAATGATGAGTCCATATGCTAACTTGACTCTGTGATCTGGAAGTCTGTGCCATCTCTGAGTTCAAGGTAGGAGACATTAATTAAAACCAACTTTATATAGGGAAAGATAGCAGAGGTATCTTGGGATAGCTGCCACATTAGACTGAGCATGCAAAGAAATACTTAATGTGTAATAATGTTGATCATTATAACATAACATAACACAGCAATAACAGGAATTAATACATTATAAACACACACATATCACAAGTTAGTAACAAACAGAAGAATAACATCCCTATATCACACATCATATCTGACCAATAGTTATATGTGTGCCTGCAACATGAGCGTGTGCAAGTGTGTTTGCACACACACATATGCCACACATAGACTAAGCTGTATGGAAATCTTTAGAGCTCATGGGATGTATCACCACAGGATGCAAAGAATAAACTAGATTAGGGCTATTCAACTGGCAGCCCAGAAGCCAAATGTGGCCCACAGAGGCCTATCAAGTGGCCCATGGATCACCTGGTAATTGTATTGGAATAATACTCTTTCTATGCTGGGGTTTGGGCCTTTGACCCATGAAGATCCCCATTTTCCAACATTTGGCCCCTGCGTAAACTTAGTTGAATAGCCCTAATTAGATCAAGGATATGTAGTCATGGGGAAATTACTCAGTTCAGATATCAAAATTCACAAACCATGCAGCTAAAATATGTTGTTTAATCTCATTTTCCTGTGTTGATAGAATCATTGGCCCTGCATGCTAATGAATCATTGGCACTGCATGCTAATGAAAGATGATAAGTCCTCTCCAGCTAGTTTACACATGCAACAAACTGGTGTGTAGGAGTCTTTAGCAGTCTACTACTAATGGGTTTATGCTCATGGCTGAGATCAACCACAACTCTCATCAACATATGTCTTACAAATGGTAGTTATCTTTCCCTACCAGATTTCAGTACTAGCTGTTCTGAATCAATTTTACTGATGACAAACCTCTATGCATTCATCTTAGACTATTTGCCAGATTTGCTCTCCATCTGGATCTAACTCTTCTAACACCTATCTTTCTAGCCATCACACATTTATCCAACAGCTCTCTTTTCAACATATGACAAAAGAACACTTTCTCTTTCTTTTAGTTGTGTACATTCCTCTGCATGAAGGCAGAATATCAGAAGGAGACATTTATCATTTTTCTGGGTCATGTTAGGAGAAGAAGGAAATTGGAACATGTGATGACTGGAAAGATCTGCAGAAAGAGAGATATATGAAGACAATGTGAGAAGATTCTTGACTGCCTTTGTCTATGGCATGGAGAGGTGTCAGCACATGAAATAGAAAAGCATGATCACCCACACCAATCTGCAGGGCACTGGATGATGATGATCTTTTATTTTAATTAGTTTTTTTAAGGCAAGTATTGTTAACCTGTGAGTCCTGGACAATCGGTAGGCGGGCCAAACAATTTCTTGAGGCCTCAGAGATGTGGTTTTACTGAAGAATGCTTGGACAGCCAAAAAAGAGCAACCAAGAGGTTTTGAAAGAGGCGGGAGCCCGAAGACAACTTATCACAGACATCAGAAGGAGACATTCATCATTTTTTGGCCATGTTATGAGAAGAGGGAAAATAGAACATTTTGTGACCACTGGAAAGATCTGTGGAAAGAGGGATAGAGGAAGACAGCAAGAGAAGATTCTTGACAGTCTTGTTGCATGGCATGGAGGTGTGTAGACACACGAACTGATACATGCTGCAGGAGATCACTGATTGTGGAGAGGCATGATCGCCCACGCCAGTCGGCAAGGCACCTGATGATGATGATTGTTAACCACTCTGATTATCTGAGATATTTGAAGCAGTTGCTTTAAGAATTCATCTCAGTTGTTTCCAAGCTCTTCCTAGTCTGTCTGTTCACATTCCAAGGTTCAGTGCCATACATCAGAACAGGTCCAACATAAAATTTAACTTTGTCCCTTTTTGATGTTTACTGAAAGTACTATTTAATAAAATCAACAACTTCAGAAATGCAACTTTTGCTTGGTCAATCATGCTATTAATCACTGTACATAAATTGTTATCTACAGCACATTTCTGATAAATTTTCCCTTGAAACAAATTTGATGAGGTTGAGTTCAAGTAGAGCCACACAGGGCAGAAAACAAACTTCAGCCTGGCAACCCAGGGATCAAACTGAAGCCCACTGTGCTGGCAGGCATGGACACTAACTACTAGGTAACTTGAATGGTCATAGTGCATCTGTGTGGTTCAAAATTAAGTGAATATGTCACAATGTTCAGGAAAGGGCTGGGGGCTTTAATCCACTGCCTCTCTAGCAAGCACGTTGCAAAAGTAGACTAACATATGACAGAGGCAAGGAACCAATAGTCTGCGTATAAATAAGCCAGATCTGTAAAATGGATGTGTATGCAAAATGCAAGTTCTGGAAGAAGATTAAAGTCCAGAAGTGGATGAACAACCAGAACTTTTCGCTGAAGTTTACAGCTGCTGAACACTAAGAAGGAAGATGAGAGAAAAATCACAAACAACAACACAACAGCAAACCAACCTTCTGTCAGTCGTTGTCCAGTCATGCGTCTGGACCCAATCACCACCATGTAGTCAGCATAGTCCTCACTGCACAAGTCATGCACTACTAATTTATGCATGCAACCTTCATCAATGAGTTCATGCTTCGTAGTTGCCTGGATTTTCTGCTGGTCCTTGTACCATGACACCTTCAGATCAATCTTTGACAGCATGCAGGTGAAGTCGGCATTGACCTCACTTCCTAATGTGACCCGCTTAACAGTCACGCTCATCCTAAGGGGCACTTCTGGAAGGCAAATCACCCACCTCGGCCATAATCTTGACCTCAATTATTTGGGTTCATATCCTGACCTGATTTCTTTTTATTTTTGTCATAAATGTGTTGCCTTTTGTAATAATGTCGCGTCTGCCAGTAAATGTTGTGGCTGCAGAGGTGCAGTGATGAACTGAGTGTGTGTTTTATTTAGTAATCTAACTTTAACAAAGTTATCTTTGTTTTACTGATGTTTGAACAATTTAAAGTGTATCTCCTGACTACAGTATTAGTAATTTAATCAATGATATTCTTTTAAATCCTTCTGAATTATAATTATGATACATGAGGTGTTTTTGTATTATTATATTAGATATTTACGCTTGTCGGCTGCTTTTGGTTAATTAATACCTTATATTTTCTGTATTAATTCTAACATATTGTTATATTTAATATATTTTAATTGTAATTTTGAAAAAAATTGTGATAATCATTTTGAATAATTTATCTTTGAGAATAGTTAAATTGATTTGCTGTGTTATTATTTTGTTGTATGATATATTAATACCTTGTTAATTTGTGTTCTTGGTATAGATTGTTTAATCCTTGGCTCAGCTCTAGCCGTGTTTTTAAAGACCCATCATCACTTGATGGGTGATGTGGTCAATATCATGGTAGCAGTTTGACTTCACTGGACATGTCATGCTACCCATTTTAAACCGGGTTAACACGGCAGCTCATGATAGTTATAAAATCTGTCTCAATGTGAATTTAAACTCCAGAGTTTCAAATCAGCAGGAAAGTGTCTAGAGACAGAACTAAAACAGCTACTCAAAAAATGTTAAATGCCTTGATTCTGTTGTTAAGATTTGTTGAAACTGCTGAATAGTTTTGTAACATCAAACAGTTCATAAGTGTGGTAATATTCTTCTTCTGCCTTTCTATCCCCCAATGGAGCTTAGGCCCTCAACCAACTCACACCAAGTCGTTCTATCCTTCGCCATTGCATGGAGCTCTACCCATGTCCTCCCCATCTTTCTAACTTAATTCTCGAGCTCTCTTCTCCATGTGTTTTTTGGCCTTCCTTTATTCCTATGACCCTGTGGATTCCAATGCAAAGACATTCTAGTTATGCTGTTCTCCTGTTTTCTCAGTGTGTGTCCTATCCAACGCCAGTGTTTTTTCCTCACCTCCTGGTCCACTGCAGCCTGTTTAGTTCTCTCCCAAAGTTCTACATTAGTTATTCTATCATACCATTTAATTCCCTCTATTCTGCACAGGCACCAGTTAATGAATGTCTGTAATTTATTAGTAATTGTTTTAGTTGTTCTCTATGTTTCCGCCCCATACAATAGTACTGATTTGACATTAGAAAGTGTGGTAATGTCACTGGTTACACAAATGTCAACATTTAACAAAAACATTAATTTATAAAATGTAAAGCTTGGTTTATTGCCTTCATCTTTCTTCTCTTCCTCTTGTGCCTTTCATCTCCAGAGAATCCAGAGGAAGCAGCAGAGCATCTCAGATGACACAAGCTAAGTTGTTTCTAGATTTGTTTGTTTTTATTTTAGCATTGTCTCCCCCCCCCCCCTTTTTCCCCCTGCCCACTAGTTCTCTCAAAAGATAAGATAGCCTGCCTCATGCCAACCCTCAGTGGTCACTCCTTATGACATCCATGATTACATGACATGCATATTTACATGACATGCATGGTTACATGACAGGCATGGTTACTAAGTATTATTTGCTTTCCCTTACAGTATACACCAGAGGCTGTTCTTTAATTATGATTATTAGACTTTGAGTATTGCATATAAATGGTCAGCCAGACATATAGCTCCTTGTTTAATTGTGCATGTTTAATATTATGACAGTATTGTGGTTATGCACATGGAGCCATTATAAAGGCAATGATTTATATTATCAATACTCAGTAGTCACCTAATTTCCCTCTATAAATGTAAGTAAGATACTGCATTAAAAAAAAAATTGTGCAGTTTATTTCTCCTGTCCATAATTTATCTGTACAAAGTGTGTGTTTTCAGTAGATAGTGATGTTTTTTTTGTGTATGTCACTGGATATACAGAACTCGTAATTTGTGTTCAGTTTGTTTGTGTTTATATGTTAAATGAGTATTGATCAGATAAACTACTTGTATTTAACATTGTCAACTGTGTTGTGATTCTGAGTATACTAGTTTTAAAACTGTATATATTGTAGTGCAATAAACTTAGGGGCAATAGTTACATAATTCTAGGTCTATAATGTAATGTAATAATCTTTTAGAGAATAGATATAAGACTGTTTTGTTACGCTCTATATTAGACTGTAATGATCTCAAACAAAATAGTTACATGCTAGGCAAATAAACTAACCATTGTACCCTGTAGGTTAAAACTGATAATAAATTGTTAGGGAAACAGGAAACTTTATAGCATAACTGTGCTAGAAAATTATGATATGTGTATATTGTATATATATATATATATATAATATTTATGTTGTGTTCAAAATTAAAAATAGTTTCCGTGAGATACATGTCATGGGTTGTATGTGATAACTGAATGTCAGTGATAAATATGCCTGCCATTAAAAATTGTTATAACTAGTTATGGTTTAAACAAGTTGCATTTTAAGTGAGGGGTGGGGAGGTGGAGGGAAGGGGGAGAGAGGGCAGTAAGTAATTTTGATCAATATTTTGTTTCTGCTGGCATCATGGACAAGTACAACGTTTCACAAACATAAATGCACAAACTGGACACACACAAAACAGGTCGCAAGCAATGCATGTAATCTCACATTAAAAGTGCAAAGTTTATAAATACAACAAGGATATGAAGATGCATATCAAGAAAACAATGAAAGCAGTATTAAAAAAAAGAAAAAATAAGCAGTGATTGAAAAACATATAACGGCATATAAATCAAGTTTAAATGAAACTGAAATGATAATGCAGAAACACACAAAAAAAGATACACTAACTAATCAAGTGGTGCTAGTCTATCAGTGTGTATACAGACATGAAAATAAACTCCGCATTCATCCCTTCAGCTTAGGGCTACCCCAAACAATGGTTTTGGTGTTTATCTTTTTCCAAAACATCAAGTCAAACATTTAAGATAACAGCACTGTCGTCTCAAGGTCAGAATAACCAAAGTTAGTCTCTGTAGGTCATGAGGGATTTGGTTATAAACATGCGGGAGGGATAAAAAAATAGATAAATATTTTTCTTGGTGTTCTAATAAATTCATTGAAAATAAATGCTATATATTAAAACCGATATAAATATTTATCTCTAATAAAAAAATAATATAAATATTTATGCTCCGATATGTTTGTACACAAATATTTAAATAGAAGGCTTGATAGAATTTGTACAATATTTTTTTATGGAAAGTGGCAGGGTTTATTTACAGTCAAGATATATCATCTTGGGTAGTATTAATTCAGATATCCAGCTATGTTGACATGCAAGTGAAGAAAGAGATGGACTGAAGTGGTTAGAAAAAGATTGATCCAAGTAGTTACATTTACAAAAACTGTTCATAGACTTATGATTATATGAAAGAGGAAATACCAAACAAGTACAGAGAAACATTAGTGACACTTTATATACTGTAGTTGCATCCATAAAAACAAACTGCAGTCATGTATTTAAATCTGAAGCTGACACAGGGTACTAACCTGACATTTCAACTGTGTAAATGCAACAACAGTTTAGTCTAAAATGTAACACCATCATGAAGGAAAGTAGGAAAGGAAAATCTCATAAGGATTGTTTTTGGGCAACTTTATGCTGCTAGTGTCAAACATGGACCCTTACTATAACTGATGACATAAAAAAATTATAAAAACAGAAATGTTTTTTGAATAGCTGTCGAAGTAGCAAGAAAAGATAATTTGAAAAATGAAAACATTAGAAGACTGAGACTGAAACCAATCAAACGGTTAATAGCAACAGATAAGATGGCTTGACCATCTGAAGAGAATGACCCGATACCAGTTGCTACAAACAGTCACGTGAAGAAATATAAGCAACATAGAGCAAGGAGAAGAACACATAAAAGATGAAATGATGGCACGAAGAGTGGCCTCACATAAATTATAATCAGCTTATGCAATGTAATAGAAAGCGTACACAGAAGATCCTTATAACTTCCTACAAGGCTCTGATGAGGTCAGTGGAGGAAGAGGAAACAAAGTCAAAGAAAGCATGGGCATAGAAACAAGCAGAAGTAGAGGGACTTCAGTTGAGTACACGTATCTTATCATTTCTAGATTCCCCATTTAGGACTGCTAACTAAAGGTTGACATTACAGAGACGTAATAAGTTGCACTTCAGATGTCAATATTGAGGGTGGACAAATTACAGATACTCTACTGAACCTTTTGGAATGGTCATATTAGAGCACCCTATAGTCACTTAAGTATTATCTAATGTACTCTGCTGTCATTACTTAATGGGTGAGGTGAGATAAGTAAATTCTCTTTGTATCAAAGCACAGGATCATCCATGGTTGAATAAAGGCAATGTTATGGGTTTCAATTATCACCAAAGCATTAATCAGTCACTGTTGGACCAAGGACTGGACCTGATGCAATCTGCACATAAAGCAAACAGAGGTGTGTTAACAGATCCTTCACACTCTGGAGTAGAATATGGGACAGATGGCCATTAGTATAAAAAAAAAAAAATTACTATCATTAAATTGTGTAATACTAGACAATTTTACAGATATCTTTTTTTTTTTAATTCCTGTTATATTTCAGGACATCATACAAGCGATAAACCCTCGGTGTCACAAAGAACCACCATGCAGATAAGAATCACCTGTGGAGAGGTCCCAGAAACACCGTTCAGCCGTTCTTCCATATTTCAGGCCCAGCTATATTTAGGGCCCACGTCAAAAGCCAGGGTGGGGCTTCAAAATAACTAAAAATTGCATCCCACATGGGGATGGTGAGATTATTTTCTTTCTCTCTGACATAAAGTCAACCAACTGAATATAAGCTGAGAAATTATAACAAGAAACAATTGTTGAAAGTTTATGATTAGTTTGTATTTGTATCCTGCCATAATTTATGTTTCCTTTCATACAAGTTAAAAACATACAGTAAGCTAATAACTAAATAAAAACAATATGGGAAATTATTGAACAATTGAAGTCTAGAGAGAACAATAAGGGAGGGGTATATGCCTGGGAAGAGAGGAAGAGGAAGGCCAAGGAGAAGATGGGTGCAGGATGTGGCAGATGATCTCCAGATGGGTGTATCAGACGCAGGACATCTTGCTCAGGATAGGAAGGTTTTCCGGAGGGTTGTTATGGCAGCGAGGTTTCGCGAGAGACATGCTACTGAATGAATGAATGAATTGAACAATTAAGAAATATGAGGAAACTGCAAAACAGTCAAGTGTAGAGTAACTATATACATTTGTGATCTAAGAAATAAAGACAGAAGACAAAAGAGAGCACAAATAAAACAAAAACATTAGGACTGTTGGATTATTTATATTTAAAGAATAAATAGAAAAACAAAAATATTTATAGAAAGCCTAAAAACAACAATAAACAAACTGGTGAAGAAATGCACAGGTACAACAAGATGTACAAGAACAGAATCTGAAAGTCTATAATTTACATATCTGATGACCACATTCTTGTTTCAGACAGCCTACACAATGAACCAGTGACTATTAACTCAAACATAAAAGATACTGTAAACAGAGCTATAGCAAGTGTTGACTTCTTCGTATATTTCTTACTGTACTCTAAGTTGGTGTTTTATCCTTTATGAGTGCAGAATGATGTCTGACTGATGAGGGTATTGCAGAATGCACACAACTCTGTAGTTCCAGCTGCTACCTCTAATGATCTCTGAAACATGTGCACTCACAAAGAGAAGAATAGCATCCAAAACCAAACCTACGACCGTCTTGGCCTAGCCTCTCTGTCAAGGAGACATCAACACTGATGCTTATGTATGACATCTTCAATGTTGTCTTTGGGATTCAGCTGGTTAATATTTATTGAACATCTGAAGTCATTTGTCATTTATCAACCACTTGTTCTCATGCAGGTGCTCAGTGCATAGTTTATGGAGACAAGCATGGAATGAGAAAGGAAACAAATCAACAAATCAACATTTACAAAGCAACAAAAAACTGAAGGCAAATCATTACATGCAAAGAATTATGGTGTGCGAGAAGAAAATGATTTACTCTTTAAAAAATAAAATGATCAATAAACTTTAAAATGCCTACAAAGTTTACTTATAACAGCTACAGGATAAAGTTAACTAAACAACTAATGAGATCTACATGCAAGATTTTAATGGAAGGTCAGCTAATTTTAACACAAATGAAATCAACTTAATGATCATGCATTTGTATTCCACTATTTTCAGGAACGTGTATCTAAGTATGATCATATAAAATAAAGACACACTGGTCCTTTACTTTTTATATAGCGCCCTGGCCAAGAAGTTTGAGTCCAGCCCAGACTCGGAAGTGACCTAGTTCACACCCAGTACAGAGTTAGGATGTTACCAAAGACAGTGGCTATGATCACCTGCCCCTTGATCAGTTACATAGTGAGGTAGGATACCCAACCTTCTCAGATAATGGCCAAAATAGGAGGTCTTGCGTGCAGGATGCACGTGTTAAACCATCTATAAGTTGAAACTTCCTTAACACACTCAGTTAACATGAACACAATGTTGGTCCCAGCAGTGATGTATTATTGTTACGAGTCTCTGGTCAGCGAACACTTTTTTAAAAACAAATTTGATTTTCAATCCCTTGGAATTTGTATTAACATGGTTTTTACTCTATGTCACCCTAGAAGAAGATGGAGTGATGACATTAAAAACCTCCTACATGAATTGTCATGGATTTGGGTCCTGACAGAGCTGGACTATTTTTGAAAATGACCTTGGCATCCAGGCTGACCTAGCCCTGTTTGGGTACCAGGTGTAGTCCTGGGAAGTAAAGGTGGATGGCATGATGCTGATGGTCTATGAAATATGGGTCTAGCCCTATATGCCCAATACACCTGAAGGTATGGAAAATGTTCCTTTACTTTTATTTTTGCATGGATTTGGAATGAGAGTAGCCATTGCTGCCAGTCAAGCAATGGTTGCAAATCGTTCATCCCCATGCCGTTTAAAGGCAAAAATGGAAATAGATGATGATGATAAGAGTTTTCAATAGCTGCTTTACAACAGGGAGCCACCATGGTGGATAAGCTAGGCACTAACCTGCAGATCTGAAGTTCATGGGTTCAAATCCGCATGGTACCCAGATTTTTTTCTTTTAACATGACCTAGGCTTCCAGGTTGACCCAGTCTTAAATGGATACCAGGTAAAGAACTGGGAAGTAAAGACGGCCGTGGTGCTGTTGACCACATCACCCATCGAGGGACGATAGTACAGCCACATGTCAGTGGTGTGTAAAGAGATGTTTTATGATACAATATAAAATATCTCTATTGTAATATCTATAAAAAAAAGTAAAAAAAGATAAAACAGCAAAATGCAACATGCAGTAACAAGTAGCACCTTCAGAGATAATGATAACATATTATCTAGAATATTTTTGTTTTACACTAAAATAAAAAGGATGTGCCAGTATGGATTTGCTTCTGTATTTAAATACTGAACAGTAACTCTCACTAAAGCTGCTTTATCTTGTTTTTGCATAACTTGTCTTCTTTTATGTTTGTTTGTAATGATTTTATTCAGCCCTTCACCACTAGTTTACACTGCTTTCTTGTTCTTTATATTCTCTATCATAAGTATTCTTTCTTCCTGATTTAGTTCACTCATAGCTTATAAAATTCTGTCTTCTGTCTTCCTCTGTATAAATGGGTTCACATCTATTTTGTCTGTCTTTCCCTTACTTTATTCATTGTTAATTTGTACTAATTTTTTTTGTTTTGACATCTGTTATGTCTATCTTTCTCTCAGCTTACACATAGCTGATGTCAGCCTGTCTGTCTTTCTCTCTACTTACTGTCTGAACTCACTCACACCTGTTCTGTCTTTCTCTTAGTCCATGAATTGTTTATAAAAAGAAATCACATCCAGTCTTTGAATCTTATTATACACTCACTGTTTATGTTGACTAAAAAGTCCTCTTTTATTTATCTAAACTTAGGATAACTTTATTCCTTCCTATTAAAAAGCACATTCCTCTCTCTCCTCACAAAATATATGCTGCAACAATTTTACTGTAAAACAAAATTACACAAGAATATGCTCATATAACAGATTCTAGTGATTCCATTTAATTTCAAATCACATCCAACAGACAATAAATGAGCACACAGATACACCACAGTACAACTCAACACATACAGTCTGGTTACTGAATTGATATGTTTTGGTATAAATATCCATACCCAAGGAAATATAAAATCAAACATATTAAAAACAGACACATACAAGGGTAAACCTCCCAACCTGGCCTCATCTGCTCAAGTTAGTTAACTTATACTTTGATTGTTTGTTAAAAAGCTTTTAAAGTAAAGCTGACACTAGAAAGCAAATGAGTAGGAATGTCAAATTTTCTATTTATTAGGAAAACCAACTTAACATTGGACAATATAATAATGCTCGAATAGAAATGTCTATAATTGGAGATGGCAGAAATAATGTATAAGGAATGTGATTTTACTATTAGTTAATGAAACAAATACAGAGAAATTAACAAAATGAAAAATTACAATGGCAATAAAGGAAATGTAAAAATGGAATGAACACAATCTGGCAACTTTGCATTGATTGCTTATACAAACACAACTTAAGTATCTAGCAACTTATAATAAACAGATCCTTTAGTTCTTTTTTTTTCCTAGCACATCCAATGTTTCCTGCATTTCTTTTATATTTCAGATGTATATTTGACATTATCAATTAAATCAAGAGTTATACATTGTGGAAATCTTTAAATATACTCCTTGTTGGATATCAAAATATGAAAATCACTTTATTTTGTAAAGTAATACTTATTAATCTACAGTTTTAAATAGTCTTAAAGTTTTACAAAAAAAATATTGTTTAAATCTATACAGTATTAAATATTTAAAGTATTAGTTAGCGAAACTGAAACATAAATTATCTTAAAATAATTCACTCTGTATATCCCATTTAGAACCCTGAAGGGCTGAAAATGATATGTTTGGTATAATAATTACATTAGCACTGAAAACTGTGAGGGTTCTCCTGTGATTGATTGTCAATCATAAGTGAGTCACACAAACACCAGCTGGTCTGGGGACAACAGCAAGTACTCACCATCTAAGTGCAGCTTTGCTTGGCTCTTTTTGTCACCCACCACCACACTATACTCAGCCACATCTGACTGATCAACATCCTTGATGGCCAGTGAGTGTCTCCTGCCTTCAGTCTTGATAATGTGCTTGCTGCTCTCGATCAAAGGTTTCCCGTCTTTCTGCCATTCCACGGAAACATCATCCCTGTTGACCTCGCAACAGAAGAGTGCCATCTTGTGTTCTTCTGTGCGGACTTCAGACAGTTGGGCAGTAAAATCAACGGGTGCTTCTGTCAAATAGAAAATGTGTTTCAGTGAAATGTATCATTTGTGTTGCCACATTAAACAATACACTCCAATTACAGTTATAGCAAAAGAACACCACCAGCAAGAATATTGTTCACAATTCATAATTCTATTTATCTTACTTCCCTTGTTCTCTACCTTCTCTTTTCCCTTTTCCTTATTTTCTCCCATAAGACTCTCCTTATTTTCCCTTTCCGTAACTGTCTTCCTTCTTACCTCCTTCTTTATTTCTATTCTTTTCATCCCTCGCCCTCCATCTTCCTTTCCATTATTTTTTTTCCATTTGACTCCCCTTCTTTTTTTCCTTCTTATCTCTCCCTTTGGGTGATGGGGTTGAAGGGGGAATAGACAAACCACCCTTTAACAAGCATGTCTTAAAAGGCAACTAATTGGGAGTTTACTGAATCAGCTGAGAGGCATAGATATGGCAGCCTGTCATAAACTATAACATTATGTCTCAACTTGAATTTTAAAGGGAAAACAGCAGAAAAAAAAAGAGGAGAATGAGGAGGAGGATGAGGAGGAAAGAAGAAACAGGGTGAGGAAAGAAGAAGCAGCAGGAGTAGTAGGAAAGAAGAAGCAGGAGGAGGAGGAGGAGAAGAAGAAGAGGGAAAAGGAGAAAAAAGATGAAGAAGAAGCAGTAAATCACAGTTAAAAAAAAAATAGTTTGTAAACTGTAATTGAAACAATGATCAATACAAGAGCTGTAACTAAAGAGTCCAGAAAAGAACTATAACTCACCTGTCACAGTCAGGAAAGCATGAGTTGACTTATCCTCGACCTTGGCAATGACTTCTCCAGCATCAGGCATGACCGCATCCTTGATCACCAATTTATGTACTCGACCTTGCACAAGCACCTGGTATCTCTCATCCTCATTAACCTCAAAGCCCTCGTGGAACCACTTGACGGTGGCTCCATCGATGTTGAGCTCACACTCAAATGTGGCAGTCTCACCCTCGGTGATGCTCTGGTCTGTGAGGGGACGGATAAATTCTGGTGCCAGTTCTGTAAAACATTTATTAAAAATAAATACATATTTTCATGACAAAACTTGATGAAATATAACATATTGTGAAGATCAATACAAAGTGTTTTTAAATATTTTGCAAAACAGATGGGAAAAAAAATTTTTCATATTTCCAAAAATAAATTTTTTTTCTTTAGAATCATGAGCCCTTGAGGTTAACTGCTACAGATATCACCTGATTCCACTCATCTCTCACTCTTTCGGTTGGTAACTTCAATTGATTGTCGATCTGCCTGTATTTCTCCACTGTCTTCTTTGACCCATTCATGATCTTCTCCTGTTAAACTCTTTTATGTATGCAGTTTTTGACTCTCTCAACAATACAGTTGTGAACAAGAGTAACTCACAAAGTGAGTTGTTATCATTATCAAAAGTAAACAAACCCGGTGTTTCTGTCTCAACTAGTTCTACTCAAAACAACAAATACTGAGTCTAATGGAAACAATATAACAACATTACAAGACAGAAACTATTAAACAATTCAGTTTGAATGTGCTCATGTATAAACTGTCTGTGAAAGAAAAAAGACACTCAGAGGACTAGATAATAAATACTGTAAAACCTCAATAAAACAGATTCCAAGGAAGTGAAAATTGTGTTCATGTTAACCATTTGTGTTTACCTTAAGCGAGTTCATGCTACTGCGGTTTTACCGTACATGCTTAGCAGCTTGCTACAGGAAGAGTTAAAGATTTTATATTGACTGTTTTGCCCTTTCACAGTTTATAGTGAAGAGTGTGTTGTAACAATGATAGAACTCACCTTGAACAAACAAGGAGGCAGTGGTCTTCTTGTCACCCACTTGAGCTGTGACAACTCCTTCATCATCGATGCTGCAGTCTGAGATGATCAACTTGTGGGTTAATCCATCCTTGACAAACTTGATTCTGTCGTCCTCTCTCAGCTCAATGTCATCCACAAACCAGCGAACCTATCAAGGGACAATACAAAGTCACTCTTCATTATTATCTTGATACACTAGTTCAGGGGTTCCTAAAATCTTGAAAATCTAGCAAAGACAATCCAATACTTTTGAATTCAACATGATTATGTTGATCATCTATCATAGAGCATCCCAAGCCTTTAACATGATTATCTTGATTATCCTGCATAATTTTCTGGAATACTGATGCATGATAAGGCAGACATGGCTAAGGCCTTATGGGAGCAGGTGTACAATTCAGAACACCAAAAGGATCATCACAGTCTGGAGAAAGTGATACAGTGAGGGGTGACAAGGGGATCTGGTCGATACAGGACGCTCAGAGGAAAGGCAAAATGGACATATAATCAGACTGCTACTGGCACCACTGGGACTCTGCACTGGCTGCTGAAGATGGGAATGGAGAACTTATAGGAATGCATCCAGTGCTGTCATGTTAGTTCTTGAATCAACTCAACTCTTTTAGTGCCAGACAATGCACTCTACAATCATTTATCATTCCAAAGATGTAATATAATGTTTCAGCTGTTTTCTGTCACTTACAGTTTTTATATTAACCCTTCTTCTCTGGTCCTGTTCTGCCTTTCAGCTTCAGGTTTTGAAGAGACCTTAGGTATGAGCCTTGCTATGTGCTATGTTGATGCTGGTATTTATGGCCTAGGGTATTATCTATTAACCCTTTGTAAATGAATTATAAGTTTAACTACTTCTGCCTCAAAGTATGTTTGTTGAACACCAACAGATGTTAATTATTACTGCTTTTAAAAATAACCCATTGAGATACAAATAGAACAAAAATGTCTAGGGCCTCAAAGAGATAAATGGCAGAAGCAGAAGTTTCATGTGTTTCTTCTCCTGCTTTGTGTTCACTGGCTGTAAACTTTCTCCGAATGTTTTGATTTTTTGTTTGCCTCTAAACTTTTTTTTCCCTTCAGAACCTGAGTGTTGCCGCACATCCGTTCCACATATATGGCTTATCAGTATGCAGACTGTTGGTTCTTTGCCTCCCAAAGAGGCACTCTCACTTCAAAGGATTCCCCCAATAAATCCACCTCCACGACAAGCTTGTTGGTGAGGCAGTAGGTCTATTCTTATTTTCTCCAACAACTGAGCCCCAGAACCCAAATGAGGATCATGTGTTTTAAGAACAACACTTACCTTTGGAACTTCCTTTGTCAGCTCACAGGTCATGACGGCAGTAGCTTTTTCAGTGACATATACATCGTTGAGTGGGACAGCAAAATCTGGACCAACTTCCTCAACGATCAGTCGGGCTTGTGATGTCTTACCCTTAGCCACCACTTTGATGACACCATTGTCCTCAGCAGACACATCCTCAATGCTAAGCCTGTGCTTCAGGCCCTCTTTTGTAATGTCAATGCCATCTTTGGGTGAGGGCGACAGCTTGTCTTCATCAAGGTACCAGGCTACATCAGTGTCAATGTTCAGCTCACAGGTAAACTCCACGTTTGATTGTTCAGGCACAACCTGATCCTTCAGTGGGACTGTAAACTCCACCTCAATTTCTGATAAGAAAGAACAAAGAAACAAGAGTCAAGTATTTTTCTATACAAATAACAAGAAAATGTTCCTAGACACTAGTTTATGTAAACTTTGCCCCTGACTCTCTAACTTCCTGACCAGGCTAGTCAGTCTAGATTAGTGGTAGAGTCTGTACCTGGAAAACAAGACTGAGGGGGTAAAGTAAAATAAAGTATTGTTTTCACATCAGTGGTACATCTGGTATATGATGCTAGATCTATATTTTTAAAGACCAGTCAGAACTAAAAGGGATGTGGTCAACATCATGCAGTTCTTAAAATGAATATGACATACTGTTTCTTGAACATGAGCTAGTGAAATGGATGCAAAACCTTTTGAAGACTAAATATAAACAAAATAACAAAGGAAGAACATGTCACTGTGTCTTTGTTAGATTAATTTATATTCTTCGTTTTCTTCTTTGCGTTCACCAGCTGTACACTCTGGCGGAAAGTTCTGGTTGCTCGTCCATTACTGAACTGCAGTCCTGCTCCAGAACCTGAGTGTTGTGGGTGCATCAGTTTTACAGATCTCATTCTCTTGAATACAGACTGTTGATTCCTTGCCTCTCCGGCAGATGAACTCCGACTTCAAAGGTAGCTCCCCAATTAGTCGACTCTTACGACATGCTTTTGGGGAGGCAGTGGGTCTATTCTTGTTTTCCCCACAATGGGGCCCCAGAACCCACATTAGGGGGGGTTAATTAATATTGAAATGTTACACTCGCCTAGGCTGACTGACTGACTTACTATTAACCCCACCAGGACATCACACTGAGAGGCAAACACCCGGTGACACAAAGTGCCATGATTCAAATGAGGATCACCTGTGGAGAGGTCCCAAAAACCATGTTCAACCGATAGGTTATATTAGAGCTCCCGGCAACAACAAGGATGAGGCTTCACAATAAAGAAAATATTCATGCCACATGGGGATGGAATTATCAGTATAACTACCATTAGGCTGTGGAAACCTAAACTATTAATGCTGTGATTTTGTATGCAAAATTAGGTGGCATGATCACCAGTGCAGGATTCTATGGCAGTAACAGAAATATCAGTTTCACTTAGGCAGTAACAGCTGATAAATTGGAAAGACACCAGTCTGGGAGTAAAGACATTCACAGAAGTAATCTATAATCTTCTACATTTTTTTCTGTTTCTATCAGTGTTTGCCATTTTGCATACTGTGCAGATGAAGGCATAAATTATACAGTGACATTTATACCTAAGTGCTTCCCAAATCCAGAGAAAACACTTTGGGAAGCTGACCAAAAAGGTCTCAGTAATGAACACACATGTCTTGTATAAAACTAGGTCAATGGACATGAGCTTGAGAAACATTAACAACAGCTGACTACCCAATCAACTACAGAAGCAACATAGTGAATCCTGAGATTACCTTCTACATGGAGCTGTGCTTTGGATCTCTTGCCATCAACTTCTACAGTCACTTCTCCAGCATCAATTGTCTCTACAGTGTAGATGATCAACTTCAGCTTATCCCCATCCACAACAGTCTCAAAGTGTGGAGAATCAGGCTGCACCTTCTTGCCTCCCACAAACCATTGGACTCTGTCAGGAGTGACAGGTACTGTCAGGGTGCATTCAAACTCCACAGTGGAAGTCTCTTTAGCTGTTTGATCTTTTAGTGGTATCAGGAAGTCAGCTTCCACTTCTAGAGAAGAAAAATCAATTTTAAAGTATTTTTACACATTCAACTGTCACATACCATTAAGATACAATGAAAGTGACCTAATTCAGGTAGAGCTGGAAACCCTGAAGAAATACAGAAAAATATTTTATTCCCCATCTTAACAAGGTCATTAGGTTAGTTGCGTATCCTTTACAGGACGTTGCGGAACCAACCCCAATAGCCCCTAGCTGTTGTGTGGTTTTTCTAGGCAAATTTACATCCAGTAGTTTGTCATTGCTTTCTGGATGGTCGGCTTTCTTGATACCACTGTCGAAACCAACGCAAGGCACATGGCCTGCTGGTGGGATGGAACCCGAAATCCTGGAACGCATACACACACACAAACCAACTACATCTTAGCTGCACATTTCAATGAATTTCCTATTCGACAAATATGGGCTCAAAAAAAAAAAAAAAACTTGACCAGGTCAATGCATAAAGTACTATGCTTGCTCACTTAAGATTACATATAAAGTACTACACTTGTTCAAGTCGGAACCTGTATGAAGTATTATATAATTGCTCGGCCAATGTTCAAATGTGCTAGAAAAACTCAATACAGAAGTCTCCTTCTGCTGTCAACTTACTCTGGACTGCCAACTTGGCAGATGAAGACTTGTCTCCAATCCTGACAGTCACCTCACATTCATCTTCTGGCTTCAGGTCACGGATGGTCAGCGTGTGAGTGAACTCATCCGAGTCCACCAGGTATTTATTGGACGGTGTGAAAGGTTTGCCATTGATGAGCCACTGCACAGGAAGTTCATCATCATTTGTGGTGCAGGTGAAAACAGCATCTGTGTTCTCCTGGGCTTTAGTATCTTCTAGGGTCATGGTAAAGTCTGCAGGCACAGCTGTAAAAGAAGAGGAGAAATGTACAGATTAATCCTGGTAATCAATCTGAGCAGAGATCAAAAGCAAATAGTTTAATTGTAAATTTGAACAAGGGAGAAGAGACATAGTTTACTATTGTAAATAAGTAAAAAATTGTGGAGCAAATTTTGAACAGTAGAGAGAACAAATGTCCAGATACATACAGAGATTGCTGTTGTAAATTTAAAGAAAGAAGAAGTGTAATTTATTGCTGCCACATATAACAATATTTTGTTGCATACAGTGGAAAAGAAATTCAAAAACAAAACTAAATCCTTTTGTCTGCAAAAATAAATAAGCATGTTAACGCATGTAGTTACATTTGAGTCTGGTGTGTGTGTTTCTTTTCAGCTAAACACATTCATTTATTTGCTTTATATTACATATTTTTATATTTCTTTATAAAGGAGGGGATTTACCTAAAAGGTGTTTAAACATTAACCGACTAACTTCACTGCAGCAGATTTGATCCTGTATAGCTAGGTCAGACTCTGCAGAGTGGCTAGTAGCCTGCCAAAGGGGTCACATAGAGACTCAACAGCTCTAGAAACAACCCAATGGGAGCTCAAAATTACACTTGAAAAAGTCCAAAACAAAACCCATCACCTTGAGAGTACAAGGCACAACAGCTTAACCACTTCACAAAGGAGCTATCTGAAGGGGAGATAACTTCTTCTTCTTCACTTCCTCTTTTACCGCTGTGGGTGTCGAGGGAGATATAAGGTTCTGTTTCTAGCTCTTCTGGCTGCCTCGACCATAGGCACATCGTGCTGTTGTAGAGTTTCTCTGATGTTATTCTTCCATCTTGTTCTTGGTCTACCCCATGCTCTACGTCCTTCTCTTTCTATGTATGCTTTGTATGGTATGGTGTCACAAGGCATTCTCTCTAAGTGGGCAAACCATTTCACTTGCTGTCTTTGTATGTAATCCAGAATTGGTTCTGTGCCGACTTGTTCTCTTATGATCTAAATGACTGCTTGGTAAATGTTGAAATATTTTTGTTTTAAATAAATCTTGTTGGTGATGGCTGTTGTGGTGGGGAAAGGATGTTGGGTTGTGGAATAGATGTTGGAGTGGAAAATGGATGTTGAAGTGGGGAATAGATGTTGGAGTGGAAAATGGATGTTGGAGGGGAACAGAGTAGGAAGGTGGCAATAAAGACTGCAGATGAGGATAGTTCTAATGTGTAAAAAAAAAAAAAAAAAGCAGCACATAAAAGAGACAATCAGTATCTACACATTCCAACTTGTACCGGAAGTTACAACACCTATTGGCTTGCTCCTAATGTAGTGATGCTGAATCTTCATTATAATAATTTATAAACTAAATGTGGAAAAGAAAACCACAAAATAACTCACGTTTGACAGTGAGAGTGGCTTCAGTAGAGATATCTCCAAAGGAGCAGGAGATAGGACCAGCATCGGTAGGCCTGCACTTGGTGACCACCAGGGTATGTGTGTGAGCATCTGACTGGATGGCAAATTTGGGGCAGGTCTCCACCTCTATATCATTGACCTTCCACACGACTTTGACGTTGGGCACTGAAAACTGGCACTCAAACTTGGCAGACTCTCTCTCTTTGACTGCAGTATCTTGTAGAGGAACAGTCCATTGCCACTGATTGGTGAGAGAGACAATGTAATTGCAAGTTAACCAAGGGCAATCTACAGCACCATTGCAATCAATTATAATTCATTGTACAAAATTTAGAACATTACACAAATGAGTGAATAATGACACTATCAGACAGGTTGTGGGAACAAAATTGTGTACAAGATTCATAGAGAAACAGCAGATCAAATTGTTTGGCCATCTCGTTAGGATAGAGCAAGATCACATACCATCACAGGCCCTACATCTTAGAAGATCAGATACAAGAGGAGAGCTGCGAAAAAATTGATCAACAACATTAAAGACATCTTAAGCCTTCACAGCATGGCAATAGCCAGTGGCAGTCAGCTGGATACATCTTATATATCTGCATTTACAGGACTGTTTTACAAGAGAAAGTAACTAGATTTAGTCTTCTTAGGGTGACAGGGTTAAAATGAGTCCAGCTTATAGAAACACCAATCACTAAACTCATTTCTTCATGCCTCTTACAAGCAGCCTCACCTGGGCTTTCTGCCTTATGAAAGTCTGCTCCTCTATTTCCTCCACCTCCTTGGGCTTGACTGGCCGGATGTATCCAAGAGTGGCCTCCTCCTCCACCTGGCTGGTGGCAGTCAGAGGGATGCTGATTCTCTCAAAGTGCTCCAGGTCCTCATGTTCTCTATGTGAGATTTCAAATGACACAGGCTCTGCATGTTCCAGCTGGGGATTAAACAGGAGAGACACATGTAAAGGCCACAAGGAAGAGTATATTATACATGAGCGAAGATATGTAGATAATTTTTAGTTGCCTGCTCACTGTCTAAAGATAAGTTGATGTTCTTACCAGGGCTTTTTTCTAGAAAAAAACAAAAAAAACAGAAGCCAGTAGACACCATAAAATGTATATTCATCACAAAGTGTCTTATTACAGAAGTACTAAAAGAAAGGCTGCCTTAAAAAGAGTGCCTGTACTGTTCCCTATCAGGGGGGAAAAGCCCTAGTTGTTACCATTTTATGTCATAAACAGATGAAATATTGAGCTGTTGTATCTGAATTATAAGTGTAACTACTGTTGTCTCATACTGTCTCTGTGTAACTCCTTCAGACCTAAATACTAACTGATTTTACACTGGAACTCCTTGGAACTGAAGGAGATGATAAAGCAAGAACATGGGACTGAAAGCATTTTTTTCTTCTCCTCAAAATTTGTAACTTTCAAAACAAAAAGGAAATAGCCTACCTCAGGCCGGTCTCGTCTTGCAGCCGGATGGTATTCAAGTCTGTCAACTTCTGGTGATTCTGGTTTTGGTTTCTGTTCAGGTGATGGAGATTTTTGCTCCTCAACTTCCACATGCTTGAGACCAACCTGCCACGGAGATTCTTCATCTTCTGGGGCAGCCTGAACGATTTCTCTGTGGGTTTCATTCAAATTTTTTCTTTGTTAATACAATGTGTGGTTTATATTTTTGTCTTTTTAAATAAACTGATTTTAAAGGTATTGTTTGCTTGTAACACCATTACAAGGCAACAAAAGGAACATGTTGTAATCTCTATACATACTAATGGGAAAAAGAGATAGAGGTCCACACTATGACTATCACATTACCTACTCAGTTATGTCCAAATGAACTTGTAACAGATTCTTATTTATGCTAATTAAGTAAAGATTTCCTACAATAAACTACATGATAAATTGTTCTATTCAGTATTTGAGTGCCCCTACACTAAATTGTATGACAAACTGCCATTAACTATTGAAGTATTCCTACTCTAAACTATATGATAAACCATCCCATTAACTAGTCAGATATTCCCACACTAAATTACAACCTGAACCTTCAACAGTGACCAGTCAGATATAATTATAAACAAAGAATGGAGTACATTTGGCATGACAAGAAGAGACTAACCTATGTTTAAGCTGAGATTTCCAGTCAGCAACCTCCTCTAACTTGTCAGTGACCATCAGTGTGGCCGGAGCTTGCTCAGAGCCATGCTCATTGCTTGCAGTCACAGTGTATGTCCCAGCATCTTTGTCCTTGATGTCCTTGATCTGAAGCACATGTTCTCCTGTAGCTTCATCAACAAACACGCAGTAGCGACCACCATCTTGTATCTTCATCCATTTTCCCTTGGACCATTCCACTTTTGGTTTTGGAATGCCATCAACGATGCAGCGGAATTCAGCGGTGTGTCCTGAAAAATATATGATGATTCATTTATAACTTAAAATACACTAGACTCCACAATATTGTGAGGGCCCTTTGGGAATGGGTGAACAGTGCAGAGTTACAGATAAATCATTAAAATGGCGCTGCGGGGAGTTACCAGAGGATCTGGCCGGCACTCAGGGGAAGGATGAGACAGATATACAATCAGACGGTTACTGGTACCATCAAAATTGGAACTCTTCGCTTGCTGCTGAAGATGGGGACTGAGCACTTATGGGGGTGTCCTGAGTGCTGTAATGTCGATTCTTAATTCAACATTAAACATTCAAGAGACTCCATAAAAATAATAAATGATATATTCACACCTACCAAGACACTTCACTACACCAGAACAATATCTGAAATATTCTTACCATGTAATGGCACTGCACTAGAGTATAAAAAAGAGCTGTTCAACTGACACTGCACTAGAGTATATAACAGGGCTGTTCAACTGGCACTACACTAGAGTATATAACAGGGTTGTGCAACTGGCACTACACTAGAGTATATAACAGGGTTGTGCAACTGGCACTACACTAGACTATATAACAGGGTTGTGCAACTGGCACTACACTAGACTATATAACAGGGTTGTGCAACTGGCACTACACTAGACTATATAACAGGGCTGTTCACCTGGCACTGCACTAGACTATATAACAGGGCTGTTCACCTGGCACTGCACTAGACTATATAACAGGGCTGTTCACCTGGCACTGCACTAGACTATATAACAGGGCTGTTCAACTGGCACTGCACTAGACTATATAACAGTGCTGTTCACCTGGCACTGCACTAGACTATATAACAGGGCTGTTCAACTGACATTGCACTAGACTATATAACACGGCTGTTCAACTGGCACTGCACTAGACTATATAACAGGGCTGTTCAACTGGCACCGCACTAGACTATATAACAGGGCTGTTCAACTGGCACCGCACTAGACTATATAACAGGGCTGTTCAACTGGCACCGCACTAGACTATATAACAGGGCTGTTCAACTTGTGACCCACTGGAGCCCTAGCAAGCAACCCGCAGATTATGGCCATTTCTTTTGTATTAATTTTTTTTCTATGCCAAGGCTCAGGCCTCTGGTCCACGATGATCCCCATTGTTAAATGTTGAATGATGAATATATGCGCTCTGTTCCCATCTTCAGCAGCAACCAAAGAGTTAAAATTCTGATGGTACCAGTAGCTGTCTGATTGTATATCCGTCTTGCCTTTCCTCCTGAGTGTTGAGCGTCGGCCAGATCCCCTTGTAACTCCTCGCAGTGCCATTCTCCTCCGACTGTAATGATCTGTCTGTTCCTCGACACTGTTCACTCGCTCCCAAAGAGCCCTCACAACATCCAGCTTGCCATATATCAGTTCACCATCAAGTGGTGAAGTCCATTGTTAAAATGTTGGCCCTTGAGAAAATTTACTAGAACAGCCCTGTTGTACAAGATCAATAACTGATTGTTATCCATGACATTCAGATCACTAGATAACACAAGAAAGAAAAAGATGTATTTATACCTTCCAGAACACTACACTTGAGAGGAACCTCTAAGAATGTGGGTGCCCTTCCTCGGATGTCCAGATGGGCAGAACACAGGACATCACCGCCAATGTTTTCAGCCAGAGCTTTGACCTCTCCAGCCAGGTCAGGTGTGGCATCTTTGATGACGAGTGTGCTGGTTCCATCCTTGGGGTTCACTTCAATACTGATGTTTTCATCTGGTTCAATCTCTTTGTTGTTAATATACCTTTAAGTCAGTAATATAGAAACAAAAATATTATTTCAGAATATGAGAGTTCTTAAGAACTACATACAGTGAATTCTGATTTACAGAAGTGAATCATGGATCATGTATCATCATCATCAAAGGCCTAGCCAGCTTGCATAGGCAATCATGTTTCTCCACAGTCATCTTCAATATCATGGATAGCCAGCTAATTAATATAACATATTATGTTAAAATTGCACAAACACTGTTCATTAGAAGACTTATATGGAAACCATAGATGGATAAACATGTAAACTTCTATGAAATACAACTGCAGCTGGAAAAAAACCACAACCATTTAAATAGGATCAGGCATCCACCTTCCCTGAACATTCTGGATGGAATAATACATGAAAAATCACAAGAGTAATGCGTATGCAGCATGCAGCAAATTTGGAATATGTTGAAAACATGTTGCTTAGGAAGTTGAATAGAGAAATGTCTAGACTGCCGCTGGTATCAGCAGTATAAGAGCTGGTAGATGGACTGTTATCATACTCTGAGATGAAGAAGACAAAGAATTGCAAAGCAGACACTGAAATGAGAAACAAATGGATTTAGGAAGTAGGGATGTTCCCAAAAACTATTGATGAAGGCTGCTGAAAGAGGTCAGAGGTGCTGGAGTAGATGCCATACATGATACAGAAACAATTGTACAATAAAAAACAGACTGGGAAATTCAGCTACGAGCCCTTTCTGGTGTACAATGGCTCAACAGAATAGGAATGATGATGATGGATATGATCAATGTATATGACATACAAGCACAGCTATTCTTACAGACAGCCATCTCATACCATTTAATCTGTGGCATGGGAACTCCTGTAGCTTTGCATTCAAACTTCACTGTTCCATGTTCTGGCACCAAAGAGTCTGAGAGTTTCCTCACAAAAGCTGGCTTCTTGGCAGCTGTGATCAGGTATAAGAAATACAATATCAGACTAAAAACTCTGTAAATATTTTAGTAAGATGGTCAGTTAAAGGGTGAGAGATGTTGTAGATCACTCTAATAGTTTCATGGTGTAACAGAGCAGGTGGAAACGGTGACAGCTAATCGTTTTTTTTTTCAGCTGTAAACTCTGGCAGAAATTTCTAGTTTTTCTTCTACTTGTGGACTTTGGTCTTGTTCCAGAACTTGAATATTTTATGTAAATCTGTTTTACAAATCTGGCTTTTTTGTTGATTCTTGGCCTCTTAAGCACATGCACAGTAACTTCAAAGGGAATGCCCTTAATTAGTTGACTTTTGTGATTTACCTTTTACGAGACTAAAGTCTATTATTCCCCCCCCCCCCCTTTCCACCCCTAAAGCCAGCCCAATGTGGCCCTGAGACCCACCTGAGAAAACCAGAGCTAATAATATCTCTTACACTTACTGAAACAAACTGTGTAGAAGTAAAGTCCGTTTTCTTCTTCTGTAGTTGCCCAATAAAAAAAACAGCTGGTACACTGTACAGTGATTTACGGCTAGGCTATGTGTGTCTTTTGACTCAACACATTGAATTTCAACAAACCCCTAATAAGTTACCTTTTATGACAAGCTCGTCTGAGTTGGGCAGAACAGTGGGTTAGTGGGTTTTCTCCTCAAAATGGAACCCAGGTACTCACGCAGGGAGGTAGTATAGTAATTAGATTACTGACTTGCCCAGAATCAATCTCTAGTAACAGAAGGATTTTGCTTTCACAGTTCAGTACCTAACATTAGATGACAACACAGAATTCTCTGATTCTAACAAACATGATGCAGAATTAATGTCATTGCACTCTGGACAAGCCCAAATGTAGAAGAATGTGAATGTTGCTTGTGTTCCCCTGTAAGCTTGTTTGCTACATGCTGGAACAGTCCTTGTTTATGTTTGTTGCAACCAATTCTAAACCTTTGATCCTCAGTCCAACAGCTGTCACTGAGAAGATTCATGAAGATATGTCCCTCTGCTCCAGGCTGACATCTACTGCTTTAAATCGCTCAAGTCAATCTTTAGCATTCCAGTGATAAGGGCTACTGAAGTCAGCATTTCAGCTTTCTCCTTCCCTCACATCTCTGGATGAGCTGGACAATCGATCCACACAAGATCCCAGGTGTTTTCAGTCATCCACTATCAGAAATTACTCATGCCACAGATATCCACTCTGAACGTTTCTTAATATAGACAAAGACAGTATATTCTAACACTGCAAAGGTAGTGGATATCATATGCTTGAGGGACTGTCATGAAACAGTGATGTCAATTTTTGATTATTTCAATAGTTCATCTAATCTAACGCCTGGCATACCTATTTTTGTTATCTAAACTTCATGCACACTTACGGATGATTTTAAGCCTGGCATTACAGGATACCTGTCCAGCGGGATTGTGAGCCCGAGCTGTGATGATGCTGGCATCAGTCAGTTTGGTCTTGGTGAAGGTCAGCGTGTGAGTCTGATCATCAACTTTTATCTTGATGTCCTCGCTAGGCTTCAGCTCCTCATCACCCTTCAGCCTGTAGATAAACATTGAATCAAATACTTATATGACATAAAGGACTACACCACTGATATTACTAAGCCACTGGAATTAAAAGTTCACTTTCAAATGATATGCTTCATTCATCAACATCAATTCCTTTGCTTTGGTTAAAGTACTCACGTCCTGTGTCTCCCCCTTTACGCTGGTCAACCCCTACCTCTTCCCTAGGTACCTTACCTTATAACAGTGATCTTTTTAAACTACAACCAAAAAAAAAAAAAAAAAAAAAACACAACAGCCAAAAAATGTTGGGTTGGTTCTGCAATGTCCTGTAAAGGATTCGCAACTAACTTATTATAGTTAACATGCCAGGATGTCTCTATTAGCCTGCATGTATCTTCATTAGCCATGTTTACTGTATGAATGCCAGTCATTACAATGTCTGTCTGTTTATTATATTTCTTACCATTACAGCATCAGTGGTAGATGATGATGATGATGATGATGCCAAAGATTATATGGGTATGTGATATTAAAGTAAACACGATGCATACATACCAAGTTACTTGAGGCTTGGGTTTACCAGTGACCACAACCTCCATCTTGGCAGGGCTGAACTCAATGGCTTCTACTGTGTCCAGTTTCTTGGTAAATTTAGGAGCTTCTTTCTTCACTGTTAAGGAATATAACAATGATAGTGTGCTTCAAACTATTTCAAGAAACCAAAGTACACTGTGCACTAAGACACAATGATTGATTATTACTTCACAGATTTTAAACACAAATGTAAACATTCGTCTGTCCTGCTAACAAAAACATTTTATTTAGTATTATTACACTGTCAGTCCCTATATACTGTGAAAACATAACCATAGATTTCTCATTAACTTTCCATCCAAACAGTCAATGAGAAACATCTCATAACAAGTTGAAACATGATGCTGTGATTTTACATCTAGGCTGCAGTATCTGCACCTTACAGTCCAACATATCCAATTTCAGCAAATCCCTAATTAGTCACCATTTACAAAATGTTTGTTAAGGGGCAGTGAGTCTATTAGCCTCCCCCCCCCCCTTTTTCCTCCCCCCACCCCCAGAAGGAAGTCCTGGAATCCACACAAAGACTTTCCTCTTAATAAACACATATTTCTCATATGCTTCTCATTTCAACTTTAATTTCAGTTACCCTTCCATATGGTTTGGTTTGGTTTGGACAATGAATCAACATCATGGCACAAGGGTAGTAATCCATAAGTGCTCTGTTTTACTTCTAACTCAAGCCTGAGACTGAAGAATCTCAGCGCAGTGCACAAATTCTATAGCACCGGTGAGAATCCTGAATTACTCTTGGTAGACCTTTAAGTCCAAATTTTTCCCAGGCAGCGCCATTAGCCTATTCTTTTCGATTACCAACAGACAAGGGATTTTTAAAAATGTTTGCAACTATACACATGGCGTCTGAGACCAGGGAAAACTACTAGAAGTCCGCGTGAAACAATCCCAGCCTTTGCTGGCACCTAATCCTGGAACCCCCAGCACTCGAGGCAGACACCATGCCTCAAGACCACTCAGCCCCCCCCTCCCCTCCCCCTAAAGATGAAGGTGGTACATGATAATGATGAAATGAAATGATGAATCCAATGAAAGCTAATTCCATGAGACATCAGCGTGGGTCACCCAGAAGACACCTATTACATTCTTGAGATCTAAGAGCAGATGTATAATACATACCATCTACATTGAGAGTGGCTTCACAAGTAGCCTCTCCTGCCTTATTGACTGCCACAGCTTTGACAGTTCCAGCATCCTCAACCTGTGTGTTGTCAATGGTCAGGGTGTGAGTGACATCAGAGAAGCCTTTGTGGCTGGTGATGTTGAAATGGGCACTGGATTCTACCAGCTGTTCATTGATGAACCTGTAGGGACACATAAGTTCAACTTAGTAGATGTCATTTGCATTACTGATATTTGTAATGGCATCCGTTAGTCCCGGGGGACTATGGAGATGTGCCGCTGGCTTTGGGAACAGCATCTGCTGTGACTGTAAAGTCCAATGCAGGAATGGCAGTCTTTGCCACACAGGGTACACACAAAAGCAGATACTCCCTCGTTGTGAGGCAGTTTTACTCTCCGGTGCCTCCTCTCCACAGCTCGTTGTGTTCGGTTTCTTTCAAAATGTGACAGTCCATCTTTCACTTTCTGTCTCCATAGTAGTCGATCTGCAGCTGATTTTTCCCATGTCTCTGTGCCTATGTTGGTATCTATTAGGTCACGTTTGCATACATCTTTATAGCGCAGCTTTGGCCTTTCTGTAGGTCTATTCCCAGTTACCAATTCACCATATAGGAGATCTTTTGGAATACGACCATCCTCCATGCGGGAGACATGTCCCAGCCAGCGCAGACGTCTTTGCTTCAGTATACAATACACTGATGGTATTTTTGCTCTTGTGAGCACACATTCGTTGGAGACAAGGTCTCGCCATAATATACCAAGGATGCGTCTCAGACAGCGCATATGGAAGGTATTCAGTCTTTTTTCCTGTGGAGCATAGAGAGTCCAGGATTCGCAGCCGTATAGTAATGTGCTCAGGACACAAGGCTCATAAACCTTCATTTTTGTATTATCAGTTAGCTTTTTGTTTGACCAGACTCTCTTTGTGAGATTTGCAAACATAGCAGAGGCCTTTCCTATATGTTTGTTTAGTTCTGCATCCAGAAAATGATTGCTTGAGATACGTGAGCCTAGGTACTCAAACTCATTTACAGCCAGCAGCTGATGGTCATACACACTAATGTTTGGTGGATTTCCAACATTCAATCCCATCACTTGTGTTTTGTTCAGACTGATGGTAAGCCCAAATTTTTGCAAGCATTTGCAAAGCGATTCATCAGGATCTGCAGATCATCCTCTGAATGTGCTACAATGGCTGCATCATCCGCAAACAGAAAATCCCTGAGGCATCTCGTGTGCACCTTCATCCTTGCACGTAGCCTGGACAGATTAAAAAGATTGCCATCTGACCTCGAACTGAGGTATATCCCCTCAGTTGCTGTCCCAAATGCACACCTCAATAATGCGGTTAAAAAGATGCCAAAGCGTGGGAGCCAGAACACATCCTTGCTTTACTCCATTTTGAATCTGGAAGGGTCGAGATGATGAATCCTCATATATTATGGTCCCCCTCATATTCTCATGAAAGGATTTGATTAGGCTCAGTAGTATAGGTGGGCATCCATATTTTTCAAGGATCCTGAATAGACCATCCCTGCTGACATAGTCAAAGGCCTTAGTGAGATCTATGAAAGCAATGAGCAGTGGCCTCTGTTGCTCTCTGCACTTTTCTTGTAGCTGCCTGATGGAGAAGATCATATCAACTGTTGATCTCTTGGCCCTAAACCCACACTGTGATTCCGGGTATACTCTGTCCGCTAGAATTTACAACCTCTTTAGGATAACACGAGCAAAGACTTTTCCCACATAATTCAATAGAGAGATACCGCGATAGTTGTTGCAGTCGCTTCTATCTCCCTTATTTTTATAGAGAGTTATAATGTTGGCATCTCTCATATCCTGTGGCACCGATTTTTCTTGCCAACACTGACAAACTGATATTTATTTCATACAATACTCATATTGTGGTCGGCTCTGTGGCTAAGTCGATGCAAACGCTTCGTAATGCTGGGAAGCCAGGTTCGATCCCAGCTGCGAGCCAAGGGCCTTGCGTTGGTTTCGACAGTGGTATCAAGAAAGCCGACCGTCCAGAAAGCAATGGCAAACTACTGGACGTAAATTTGCCTAGAAAAACCACACAACAGCCAGGGGCTGTTAGGGTTGGTTTTGCAACGTCCTGTAAAGGATACGCAACTAACCTAACTTATATCCTGAGTCAGTCTTGGAGTTGAACTTTTATAAACCCCCACCCCCACTTTTTCCACGAGGATTTCAGTTTGTAGGACAAAAATTTCAAGAATGAGACTCAAGCAGGTACAAGTCAAAGAAACTCTGTTCAACTATATAACCATAAAGCACAGTTTTATAATGGGGAACAATAAGCATGTTTTGCAGTAACCTCCAGTCTAGTGTGGATGGGTGACCTAACTTGTTATGTCCTGTTAGTTTATATAAACACACACTGTCTTAACTCTCAGGATTAATTCAACCAGTCAGGGTGAACAAAGCCAAAACCATTCTAATTTCACCAAACTGTATTTATAATAGTTGGCAGTCTGCAAGTCTAGATAAAGGAAAGTGTACGGTTCATGTTGATTCATAATTTTGCTTGTTTCTACTTTTGAATTTTGTAAACTGACTTATTAAGTAATTATTGCTGGTATGATAACGACCACACCAGTCAAACATGGGCAAAAATTAAATGGAATCCCTACATTTAAAAAAAAAAGTTTTTTTCCCCCCCACCGCATGTGTGTTATGTTAGAAATGTAAAACTCAAACAGTCACTATATGAGATGTGAAGCTTACCATGTAATCTCTGGTTCTGGGACACCTGTAACTGCACACTCAAATTTAACTGGACGTCCTTCTTTAGTGTCCCTGTTTGTTAGTGGCCGGGTGAATACAGGAGCCTCTGTTATACCTGTTTGTGAGAAGTTTCATCAACTTTAGATGGTTTAACAGTTCTGTGACACTAATGGCTCTGTGACTGAGATATTTTGATAATGTTTCATTCAACTGGGACATTTTGAAAGGTCTATAACTTAGCCAGTGGGATATGTATGTGACTGAGAAATCAGATCAGTGTATGGCTTAGACATTCTGACAGTTCTATGACATGGATGATCTTTGACTTAACCACTCAGATAGGTCTATGAGTTTGTGTTAAGGTTTCAGATAGTAATGAATATGGATTCAAGATTTTATTGCTGCATACAGAACATAACTATTTTACTATTTATGTCAATACATATATCTTCAACAAAATATATTGTGGCAGTGGTGGCACAGTGGTCTGTATACTCTGCCTACCAAGGTACTGGTCCAGGTTTAATCCTCAACAGATGCAGAATAATTATTGTTTTTAACCATGATCAGCTTGGAATCATAAATGTAGACGTCATGAACTTCCAGAATTTTCCAGGAAGGATAGTGGATAAACAAGGTGAAAGGTCATTAAATCTTGTACGTCATGCTTAGAATATGTAAAGACCCAAATCTTTCTGTCCCAAACAATGCATAATGCATTACATGTCTCAAATATAACATCAAGTGTCTTCTCGTATTTAAGTTTTGGTCAGTGTGTACTATATAAATTTGACAACCACAAGGGTATCTTTCATTAATTTTTCATTCCTACATAATGGCAAGTGGTTAGAGTTTGTTTTGGCAATATGTAATTAAAATGCACAAAACCATTTGGGACTGAAAGAGCTAAAATCTCACACCTCAATAAGTAACGGCTACTGGGATAATTCATTATTTGCAACAGAGATGGCATTTTCTTTATTCAAGAATTTAAGACAGGTGATGAAAAAGAATAACAGCTTGACAGCCATTTGCACATGTTATAAGACAAAGAAGATGGCAATATACTGTGCACATTACCGAGGAGAAAGAGAATAATCAAACAGGTACTGAAATGAGAAACAAATAGTTTGAGGAAATGAGGATATCCAAGAGAAACCCTAAGGTGGAGGTTGTGGAGAGAGGTCAAAGGTGCTGGACAGGATTATATCCATGGTATCAAAAAGGACTGCACAGGACAGAAGAGAATGGAAGACTAGACTGTGAATCCTATGTCACATATAATGACACAACAAGAAGGTGATGATGATGACTGCATTTGTTCACACATATTGCACAAAGTGAATAATAAGATACCTTCAACAGTGACACGACCAACACACTCATCAGACCCAGCTGGGTTTGTGGCCACACATTTGTAGACTCCCTCCTGATCCTTCTTAATAGAGGAGATCTTCAGTCTGACAGTCTGCTCCTCATACTTCAGTATGACATTTGGTGACTTAGGTAGTTCTTTGTCATCTCTGAAAATTTCCACACACATTTTCTTACAGACAGATAAATATAAAATATTTCATGGTCAGTCTAGCATTATCACATTCTGTTTCTTTTTCCCTTTTTCTTAAACCATTTCTTGCTTTGGGGGTGGGGGGGGGGGTGGGGGGTGGGGTGGGAGGGAGTGCTGGTTCTTGCTTTTATTGCTGCCAGGACCACACACACATCATTCTGTTGTAGTTTCTTTGATGTTATCTTTCTTACTTTGTTTAATTGACACAATACTGCTAGTTTCTTTCTCGTCTGCTGATTTATCAACAGAATAATAAAACAGAATGTGGAATGTGTTAACATCAGAAAAATAGACTCAATGAGGAAATAAGTAAGGATGGAATCAATGAGTAGTTTGTCTAACCCCCCCCCCCCCCTTTGTTTTTCCCAACACACACACACACACACAGACACATAAAACTCTGCAACCCACACAGGGAAAAAAACATATTCATTTAAATGTTAATTTCCAGACATTTCCTGCTCCTGCTGCTTCTATTTGTCTTGAACAAGTGAAACCAGTATTCAATTCTGCTGGATGGTACAATGAAAAACTGATTACAAAATATGATGAACTTACCTATACCATGTGACCTCAGGACGAGGTATGCCAGTGACTCGAGCATACAACTGCAGTGTGTGCTGCTCCATGACAGTCTGCAAGAGAAAGTATAAGTCAACATCACAATGAATTAATAAGAGAAAACATTTTACTTCCTGAAGGTTACAAACTGGGCAAAATCACGGATCATGAAGCCATAACAATGAAGTAGCTTTAGCCATCACATTATAGTTGACAAATATATTCTCTGTAAAAGTATGAAAATTTAAGAAATAATCTTATAGTTTACATTTGTAGATAAATGTTTGGTTAGTTGTTTGATTTTTACTTATGACATTGACAGGAGCAGAAAGAGTTAGGACAACAACAACATTAACATAAATAAACATACTGTGTCCTCAAATGTCTCAATGAACTGTGGTGGCCTGGTCTCTTCCAATGCTTCCTGAACAGGAGCTGCCTCTTGTGGTTTTATTTCACTGGGTACTTCTGTAAAGAGCCAGAAAGTGAACCCCATTACAAAAGTAAATATACATTTTTTCTTGATCTTCTTCTGCCCAGTGCAATGAAGTCAGATCCTCTCGACCTAAACCTTTAACTTCTACCTTTTACCTCCCAAATAAAGTTTCACCCTTAAACAACTCATATTGAGCCATCTGTTGCCTTATTTAAAAATAGTTAGGTAATCTTATTTCGCAGCTGGTCAATTTCAGTTGAAATCTTTAATCAATGTCTAAGTCTGACACTAGCGGAGTCCATGGCTTAGGTGTTGCAAGTCCGACTCGTAATCCAGCGTACCGCGATCGAAACCCACTGCTGGCTGTGTGGATTTTTATCAAGGTTTGGGGTGTCGCAGTTCAACCCAGCCTAAAATGGGTACCAGGATGGCTGTCCTTGGAAGGTAAAGACGGCCGGCGTAATGCTGACCACATTACCCATCCAATGCCAGTTGGTCTGTAAAAATATGGGACACTCTTCCCATATACCCGATGTGCCTAAGGCGTGAAAAGGATCTTTAAGTTTCCCACTGACAGCATAAGATTGGTATGAAAACTGCATTTTTCACTAGTCTTTTTTGTCTATTTTGGGATAACTAGGTGTTTCAAGCGGCGTCCGTGGCTAAGGCGTTGCAAGTCCGACTCGTAAGCCAACATACCGCGATCGAAACCCACTGCAGGCTGCTTGGATTTTTGTCGTGGTATGGGACGTCGCAGGGCGACCCAGCCTAAAATGGGTACCAGGATGGGCTGTCCTGGGAAAGTAATGACAGCCGGCGTAATGCTGACCACATTACCCACTGAGTGCTGATGGTCTGTAAAAATATGGGACGCTCTGCCCATATGCCCGATGCGCCAAAAGGCGTGAAAAGGGAACTTTACTTTACTTTTTTTTTAGGTGTTTCAAAATTGTTTTGTTTATTGAATTGTTATATTTTAATACATATACTTTCATAAGCGAAGAAGGAATAAGCCAACATTGAAATAATGAGCAACAGTGCACTAACTTACCGCGGATGATAAGCTCAGCAGAACAAGAAGTCTGTCCAAACTCATTGAAAGCAGTGACTGTATACAGTCCCACATCTTCTGGGACCACCTCATAGATCTCCAAGTGATGCTGGCCCTCCTCCTCAAAGATCATATACCTGTCCTCATCTTTGAGTACTTGATGATTGAAGACCCATGTCAGATCTGGCTGTGGCACACCTGTCACTATGCACGTGAAGTCTGCAGTTTCCCCAGGTGACACCTGTTATTAATGATTTTCACACATATTAGTTATTACAGGCAGTACTCAAGTATCCATTTAAGTTTAAATAAAAATTTTCCATATGCATTAGTTTATCTCCAGCATCCATGGCTTAGGTGTTGCGAGTCTGACTCGTATTTCCAATATACCATGATCGAAACCTACTGCTGGCTGCGTAGATTTTTATCATGGTAAGGGACGTCACAGGTCGACCTAGCCTAAAATGGGTACTGGGATATATAAAAGTCAGGAGATTTAAAAAAAAAGGGGAAGTAAAGACAGACGGCGTAGTGCTGACCACATTACCCTCAAAGTGCAGATTGATCTGTAAAAATACGGGTGCTCTTCCCATATGCCCGATACACCTTAAGGCATGAAAAGGGATCTTTACTTTTAGTTCATCTAGGTAAAGATTCAATATCACAGTATTCAAGGAAAGCCCTTATCAGCTGTCTCCCTCAGAAATCCATAAAAGTTTAGATATCAATTTTCACATCTATTACTTAGACTATAGTGACAGCACAAAAATCATATAGATAGCAGTTATCGTCATGAATTTAGAGTTGATTATAAAAACACAAAATCGCCACAGTTCAGGATATAATTTTGGTCCTGATCATTTCAATCACGATATGTAACATTAACACCTGCATAGCTGAAAATTGAATGTTGCTATCAGTAACAACAGTTTTCATTGTGTTATTAATGTAATTCATACTGTGTACTACTAATAAAAAAAACAACTATACCATTAAAGACAAAAAGCATAGTTATTCCAACGCACATTTTTAATTAGTTGATGGGAAAACCTGTGTGCCTAACACAATGACCCAGATGCAGAACAACTTTCAATTGATTTGGCTGAACCCTAAAGTATTCTTCAGTGCAATTAGAACAATTTCACTTATTAAATTACAAAGACTGTTTTTTTTAAGTAGTATATTAAACATGTGAATGACAACACTTGACAGATGTGTACATTGACAGAAACCAACTCACCATCTGAGGTTTGATGATTTGTACAAACACTGGGGCTTCCCCTTGGGGTTTCACCTCAGGGGCTGGAACCTCAGCTATTAGTGAAATAAAAATTACAGTAATGAAGACAACAGGATTAAATACCCACATGTTTATTGTACCATTTAGTTGTAAATCTAGAAACAGTACCTTGAACTGAATAAAAACATGGAAAACTAAAACTTCAAACCTGCTCTCTTCTCCTCCTCCCTTACCCAAATGTAATATGCCAAAAACAAAACCTTACATCTATAAATCACAGACTAGTCCAAATAGTAGGAAACTAATTAACCAAGCAATCATCATCATTGTACACTGGCCAAGCCCATAAGCACTCCGATGCCATGGTAGGAAATAGCTGTTAAAAATAAATCTGCTGTCAACGTACTTAAAATTTCCCACTGATTGAAAAATTAGTAACCACAATATAAGATAGGACTATACAAATAAGTTTACAGATGGGCCAAAAAGTTGAAAATGGGGATCACCACAGGTCTTAACATAGAAAGATCATTATCACAATAAAACTAGCAAAGATCTATAAGGCAGACGTGGTTAGTGCCTTGTGGGAGAGCGTGTACAGTTAGGAGGAGCAGATGGATCTCCACAGTCTGGTGAGATTGCAGCGGGGAGTGACGAAAGGTTCTGGTAGATGCTCGAGGCTCAGAGGAAAGGCAAGACGGATGTTAAATCAGAATGTTACTGGCACCATTAGTATCGGACTGCTGAAGATGGGGACGGAGCGCTTATGGGAATGCCTAAAGTGCTGTGATGTTGGTTCTTGAATCAATTCAAATCAAATCAAATCAGCAAAGATCTGCAGGCCATTTGCTAGGCCTCTGTGGGCCACCAGCTGAAAAGCCCTGTCATAAAAGGAGACTAACGATGGTTGGGTGTTGTAACAATTGTATTTCCCAAAGGGTTCCCAATTTGACCTAAGAAGGTCAAGGGGAAATCAAGTGAGTAGAATACTCACATATTCTGTGTTTAACTGAACTGTTGAAATGTGACCACCAGTGGAAACAGGAGGAAGGTTTGAAGGTGAAAGAGAGATCGAGTCAGCTGGTGTTTGACATACGAGAGAAAGGTTGCCTGCATCAAGTGACTGATGAACCTGTGATTGTTGAAGAACAGAACCAGGACAGAGAAAGCATGGCAATGGCAGAAGAGGAATGACTCTGACTTGTATTGCTGAGCGGTTGTGTATCTTCATGGCACCTTGATTCAGATGCCATATCTCAGCTTATATGTGAAACATATGGACCGAAAGATAACTGAATGTTTTTATTTAATTGTGTGCCAGCTGTGACAGTGTTCATGTGAGAGCCTGAATACAACACCTACTGGACCATAGTGGTCCAACAATAAACTGTAATTACAGAACACTGGGATGTTTTCAGTATATCTGTCCATCTTTTTATACTAACTTTCCATCAGGACACATGGGAGACTGATATAGAAACCAGCATCACTGCAGGTGTGATTGGCTACCTAATACTGTAGAAAATTTCAGCTGCAAAATTTGATAAATTATGAGGAAGCTACAAAAAGCACCCATCAAGTTTAATGGAAACAAACGTTTTTCTTTTTCAAAACTGGCTTAAGCTCCTAGGTTGACTCAGCCTAAAACAGGTAAACAAGTATTTATTTCTAGCGGCTACACATGTGTGAGACATTCTACTGGCCAGGCACAGATATAGCAGTTGAGTGTTTCTGTGTTCTCTTGTTAATGCTTGTGGTATTGTGGATTTACACAATGTGCTGATGAAGGCTGTACAGAAACATTTATGTGTCATTCATGTTTGTGGTTTTGTGGAGCAGCCTGGTTCTACTTTTCATATGGTTTGATTTTTTACAGGACAAAAAGGAGGAGGAGGAGAAGAAATAATGGTCATGTAATAATAGAACCCTATTTTTTCAAGTTCAGTCTACAATAGAACAGAAAACACTTACGGATAGTGACAGTGACATCAATAAAGCAGCTGTCTGACCCTGTCTCGTTTTGGATAGTCAGAATGTAGATAGCAGTGTCTGTGACCTGGGAAACAGGGATGGTCAAGGTGACAGTCTCCGATGTAACGCTGATCTGGTGGCGGTCATCAGTTGCCAGGATGTGTCCATTGACAGACCACTCAACTTGGGGCTGTGGGAAACCTTCAATAGTGACCACCAGTTGGATGGTTTCACCTTCCAGCACAGCCACAGGCTGTGGTTTTGTCAGAATACGAGCCGGAGCTGAGGAGTAGAGATGGCAGGTACAATGTTATCTCATTCTTCTTGTTCAATTTATGTATTTACAACTGATCAAGTTCAACTCACTGAATGAATGAATGAATGAATGAATGAATGAATGAATAAATGAATCAAGAATTGACAGCTGACATCACTACACTCTGGACATTGCCACATGTACTCCCTCCCCTTCTTCAGTAATCAATGAAGATTCAAGACACTAACAGTACCAGCTGCAACTTGATTAAAAGCTTGCCCCCATTTCCCCTTCAATGTTGAATATCTTCTAGATTATCTATACAATTAATTTCACTCTATCTCAGTGTAACTTTAAATCACACTCTGTCTCAAATGTCACCCTGACTATTTCTGTAACAGCTATCTGAATACCCTTAAACTGTTACAATTGATTACATTAAACAAACAAATCTAGGAGAGAAAGTGTATTATTTCTTAGATAAGACACAGACTGTTGTCAGTTTAATGTATTCACTAAATAGAAGCTGACACATTTTGAAATATACACTTGAAGTCTATAGCAGGGATCAGTTGGTTAGTTTTGTATTTTTTTTTTTTTTAATGTATCCAGAAACCATGAGTTGTAAACCCTTTGGCTCGGTACTATGGATATCGCAACCCTTCGGCCTTGATTCCATTATAGGTACCGTTAATCTGGGAGAAATGTGGCTTTTCTGCCTACCCCCGGGAGTGAACCCGGACCACAAGGAGTTCGTCACCCGGCCGCCGCGAAAGTCAGGTTTAACCAACTTCGCTAGAGAGCCGGGCAGTTTTGTATTAAAATAAAAAAATAAATTAAAATAAAATAAACAGCAAGGCAGAATCATATAAGCACACACAAGTTAGAGCAAGCAGCTAAGAAGTACCTGGGTGGCATGGTTGAACATGTGTGTGTATTTAGAACCACAGTAGTATGGATGAAATCTCATGTTAAGAGATATCAGAAGTTCATAAAAGTAATTATTTATAATTCCAATAAAATCTATAAATATAACCTGCCTTTTATCCTCATGAATATATAATTTTTTGTTTTCAAAGCCTGGCTGCATTTTTAAAAAGTTATATCTGGTATTAGCTTGAGGTCTTTTCTGATAAGTGCAATAGAGATCCAGGAATCATCACCCGGGTCTGCCCCCAGAAATGACTAGGGAGGTAAATGGACTGAAACACTTGTTAAAGGGGGACATCAGCTGAAGATCAATAGACTCTTGTTGTGCATGCTCACGCCATAGAGTTGTTCTTATTATTGCAGATCTATAGAATACTGCGTTATTGGGGCCCATGAGAGAGGCAAAGATGTAATCCAGTACTTAGATATAAACTGGTGCTTAGATGTAAGCTAGTGCTTAAATATAATCCAGTAATTAGATGTAATCCAGTACTTAGATGTAATCTATAAGTTAGAATAGTAGCAAAGGACCAGTGTAAACCCAGTGGCCCATCGGGCATGTGATGATCAATTACAATTTTTTATAGAGCATCAGCATTTGATAGGTGATGTGGTCAACTTCATGCCAACCACCTTTGCTTTCCTGGACTTTACCTGGCATCTAGGTTGACTTAGGAGTCAACAGCATTTCTTTAAAAAAAAAAATCTAACTCAAAGGGATCCGAACATGTGACCTTTGGCCTGGCAGGCGAGCATCTAGTCAATACATCACAATAGCTGTCAAAGATGTAATCTGCCCTGCATTTAGTAAGAGCTGACAAGAGATTTGCTACCTCGTCCCACAGACAGCTGTAGCTGGAGAATCCAACCAATCATGAACTGGTATACACAGGCTGGTTGTGAACAGGTTGAAGGCCTATGCTTCACTAGCAGCAGAAAGGCAGAACACAGAATTCACTATGATACCCAGATAAATGGTACCAATTGTGAATCCCCTTTGTTAATTGTGTCTTCTTTGTGTGCACAGTGATGAAGTGAAGAATACCAGTTTATGCTCGGCCAGAAACCCTCCCCTGTAGCACTAATTTTAGTCCACAAATGTTGAATATCACCGACTCCCTGTGTGAGATCCAGGGCCCAGTTTTTGGGGGTTAAACAGAATAAACCCACTGTCCTCCTAACAACATGGTGTAAAAGGAGATTTATTAGGGATCCACTGAAAGTGGATGTGTTGGTGCAAATATTGCAGCCTAGCTGTAAACCTCAATCCAACATGCCAACCACTATTTTAAGGGAAAATGAAGAAGGTGAAGAAGAAGAAAATGAAGAAGAAGAAAGCCACTGACAAAGACATAAGCTTAAATCCCCACATAACAGAAGCCATTTCAAACTTAATTTAAAAAAAAAAAGTGTTTAGAATATAAAAGATTTCACATCAGAAGCCATTTCGAGTTAAATTTTTATTCTTAGAAGAAGAGAGGTTTGACTTTGTTGCACTGCATCATTTTATCATATTTGGCTCTGTCCTGCATATAATGTTTCAAGCGCATGGAGAACTCCAAATCATTTGTGGATGTACTGAATCTAGAGCAGCTAGGCAGCTTGGACCTGTCAGTGTTTGAAGATAGAAGCCCATGTTCTGGCAGTGGGTTTTTGCATCTGTTTGCTGAGTTACTGAAACTCCACTCAGAAATCCAAGACCGGACATGTCTGCCACAGCACTCAGACAATCTGCCATCAGTGAGCTGAAATTCTGGTGTGGGACTGTTAGATTTGATATGTCTGACAGCTTCTTTATTTATTTTTACTTTGCATGTGCAAGCATCAAGATTTTGCTGGGACTAAAAAGCTTTTCACTAGTTTTCAAATGGGATAGAGAAGGCAATTTTGCAGGATTTTAACTGGAACAGGAATGGAGCAGTTATGGAACAACCTGTTTGAAGTGATGTTCGAACCTCCACTTATAATTAATGACTCAGACAATGAACATGTAACAAACTGTAGTGGTTTCTGCACACATGATCTCTTGTTTTACTATGTCTCACCAGGATAATAAGCCAAATCCATCACAGTTTATTTTATAAAAAACACACACAAAATCAAAAACCTGTAATTGAGGGTCTGTGGGCTCAGGAAACAACTTGAGACTTAGGGGAAAGACATGATGAGTAGTTAACCAGATGACAATGGGTACCATCAGTATGTAGACTCTTCTCTAGCTGGAGGGAGATGGAGCTGATATGGGCTTGTCCTGAATACTATAATGTCAAATCTTTACCCAGATGAACCAGATATCCTAATCACAACAGTGTCTCCATCTGTCAGCGTTATCGCTTTCATTCAACTAGACTCACACATGTCTGGCAGTAAACTAACAATTGCTTGAGGTAAACAGAGTTGCAACAGAAACTGTATCGAACAGACAGTATGTCATAAATGGCCACTGTTTTGTAAGTTGTGACTGAATGAAAGAGTCAAATCACTGCACTCAGGACATCCCTGTGTGTGCTCCTTCTCATTATTCTGTAGCCAAAAATGTGTTCAAATAATGAAGGGGCTATAGGCAACCTTGCTGAAAGATCAACCATGTTTCCCTTTGTATTGAGTACTGTCCAATCCTTTGCTGGTTTCTCATTGAATCAGTTGTCATTGTTCCCAATGAAAACACTCTGAGACACAGACATCGCCTGCAAGCCATACACTCTGGAATACTATATTTTTTAGCGATACTAATATAAATTTTCTTTTTCTTTCTTTAGCTTTATTACTATTATTATTTTTAAATATGACTTTAAAAAAAATATGGCATCCATGGCAAGCCTTTGAACATAAGAGGGAACCGCAGGGATCCATCTACTAGGAAACCACTGGCAAAGAATAAACTTAGAGTTATTTTAACAGAAGTAAAATGAGAGTTAATAGTTATGTTAGCTATATTTATTTTAGTATGCAGTATTTCTACATGCAACATGTTAGGTGTGGTTAATGTTATTGGTAAATTTTAATCAGCGACAACATGGTCAATGTTAACAGCTACAAACAGAAGTATGGTTAGTGTTACCAAAGTGCAGTCTTCAGTTAAGAATGCTGGCAGCACTGGTTGTACTGAGGCTGTTGGAGACTTGCTATAAACAATCTTCAAGCAATTCCCTTTAATTTAAATTAGACCTAGTATCCATTAGTTATGGTCTTGGATACACTGTGGCTTTAAAGAATGACTGGATATCGTATGAAAGTTATCAGTAGAGAATTATTTCACGATGTGTATGAAAAGGGACATGGTCAGGCATTCTTTTCATTAACTCCATTTCCCCATACTGATGGAAAATTATCAACATCCATGTGCACAGCACCTCATGGAGAGCTTTCCCCATGTTCTGGGGACCCATTTGGAGAAGAAGAAAAAATGGGGAGCGGTGGCCAGGATACATAAAGATATGGAGAGCTGACTGGGCAACCACTGATAACAGCAACTATAAGACAGAGAAGATGGCACTATACTGGACACATCTGGAGAAGAAATGAGCAAAGAATCACCAAACAGGCACTAAAATTGGAGGTAAAGGAATTAAAGAACTCCAAAAGAAAACCTAAAATGAACATTTATTAGAAAGGCTAGAGGTGCTTGACTGCATTCCCTCTTAGAAACTGAACAGATTGTACGGGATAAAATGGAATGAATGAAACAGAATGAAAGCCCTATGTGGCATATAATGGCACAACAGGAGAATGATGCATATTACCCTGTTGTTAATTCAAGCAAAGAAGACACACAGTAGATGGCACAAATTATACCTTGGCATATACTGTAGTAGGCATCTGATGAGATACAGTGAAAATTGCCAAGCATTAAACTGTGTGATCAACTGATTGAGCAAAAAGCAAATCTGCAGGCAGAAATGTTGCCCTTCCAACAACTACAACTATCACTGTGTTACAGTGCACACAGAAGATAACATGAATGTTTGAGGACCATGCTGGTGGCTGGAGTTTTATTAACTATAGAGTGAATAGGGCGGAAGAATCGGCAGATCATTATGATCTGAAAAGAATGGTGCTGCAAGGAGTGATCAAAGGATCTGGCCGAAGCTCAACC